TGTAATTGTATTGCATTTTATTGTATTGTATTTTATTGTATAATATTGTATTGTAATTGTATTTTACTGTATTGTATTGTATTGTATTATAATTGTATAGTATTGTATTGTAATTGTTATTGTAATTGTATTTTACTGTATTGTATTGTATTGTATTATAATTGTATAGTATTGTATTTTAATTGTTATTGTAATTGTATTGCATTTTATTGTATTGTATTTTATTGTATAATATTGTATTGTAATTGTATTTTACTGTATTGTATTGTATTGTATTATAATTGTATAGTATTGTATTTTAATTGTTATTGTAATTGTATTGCATTTTATTGTATTGTATTTTATTGTATAATATTGTATTGTAATTGTATTTTACTGTATTGTATTGTATCGTATTATAATTGTATAGTATTGTATTGTAATTGTTATTGTAATTGTATTGCATTTTATTGTATTTTATTTTATTGTATTGTAATTGTATTTTATTGTATTGTAATTGTTTTGTATTTTATTTTATTGTATTTTATTGTATTGTATTTAATTGTATAGCAATTGTATTTTATTGTATTGGGAATATTGCTGTTTTAAGAATTCAGATTTCACTCGAAGATCTCTCAAATACCAGTTCAAAACTATTCAGATGAAGACGACAGTTTATTGATAGATGATGAGGATAGTTTAATTACTTACGCGAGAATTTCAGGCAGGCTTTCATGCCCGAAAAATCTTATCTTATATTTTCTACACCGGCGTCAAAATTTTCATCTGAAAGGTTTGGCCAGCCCTTAAATGCAATCCAAAAAAGGCAATCCAACCTTCATCTGGACCAAGTTGAGAGGATGAAATGTTGCTCGGAAGCAATTAGGATTTATTAAAAATGCAATTTTATTGTTTTGTTACACTGTAAAAATGTAAATAAACTGTAAAAATGTAAATAAACTGTTTCACTGTCACCATCCCCTATAAATTAATATCCGAAATTGATGGCGAAAATTTTTTTTTAAAACGCGGATGTGGATGAAAAACTGTGGATGTGGGCAGTTGTGGCTTGAGTGAATGTCGCTTCCGAAGGGCATCAGCTATTTTCATTGGTTGGAGTACTTTAATTTAGTTGAAACATTAACATAACTACCAAATTATTTATATTGTCTAGTAATATTCTGTGTTATATGTATAACAAATTTACATTTATTATACTACAATTCAATAATAATTATTTCTAAATTAGGTTGATATTAGGCAGATGTGGCAAAATAGAAAAAAAAATGATTAAACAAACTAAAAAAAAACCAAACCGACCCATAACGAGAGCAGCTGTAGGAATATCAAATGGAACATTTTGGCTCCATCTCAAACTATTTTCACCAGAAATATTATTATTATTACTATTGTTATCATTATTATTATTATTGTTGTTGTTATTATTGATATTATTGTTGTTGTTATTGTAGGCACTTGATATGTAGTTGAGCATGTCTTCAAAGACCTTGCTATCCATGTCTGCCTGTATCTCCTGCAAAATGAATACATACATATATAAATATAATAATGAATAATAATAATTAATCACACAAATAACATGTGATAGGATCTAAAAACTAATTAATTAATTAATTAATTAGTTTTTAGATCCTATCAATTAATTAATTAATTATTTGATTAATTAAAAATTTCTAACATTAATATCTTGCTGGAGTCTAGAACATAGATCATGATACATCTGCATTCTATAGAGGCAATCCTCTGTACTGTCTAGATTGTTACAAGGCTTGACGTAATGCTCTTTTTGAATTTTGAATTTTTTTTTCATTTAAATCTAAATAAAATTAATCAAGTAAAATAAATATTAAATCCATTAATTTAATTAATCTTGTCAGGAAAAATTTGTTGCTTAAAAGTTAACTAAATGAAAAATCATCTTTATTACCGGCTGTAATATTTGTCTTTTTGCCACGATGAACAAAAACACCCTGTGTACAAATTTTTAGATTTTCACAAATAATAATTTTATTTATTTATTCATTATAAATTAAAAATTATTTAATAAAAAATAGTAAAGATCGCCACTATTTTTATTTATTATTACTCATTCTAATAATAATTATCCCTAGTTGAATGTCTAATTGATTCTAATTAAAATGAAGAGCTGATCTCAAAAGCCCCCAATCTAGAGTATTATAGTCTGTACTGTAGTCTAGTGTCTAGTCTAGTCTTGTCTAACAAGTCTAGTCTAACCATTAGACTCTAATAATGGTCTCTAATGATGCAAACAACCCTAACCTACTCTACTCTGTATAATGATAATCCAATTAATACAATTTCTCTTTCTTAATCCTAATCCAGTCATAAGTTAGTGCAGTGAGCCAAGGGACTAATGCTTATTTATCTCACATTTGAATTTTCATGTGGTAAAAAAAGAATAGGTACAATTAGTGTTACTTTTGAATTGGAATTTTATTTGAAATGTTTGTCTGTTACTTCAAAGTTCAATTCAAATAAATTAATAAATTATATAAAATAAATTAATAAATAAATAAAAAATAAAAAAGTGATTACTTTTGAGACAGATGATTGTGGAACAGCTTCAGACATTTTTTGAATTTGTAACAGACGGAAATCTAGAATAAAATTTCTAAAAAACCGAATTATTACTGAAACAAGCTAAATTAAAGTTTAAAAAGTCATCAAGTGGCATTTAAATTCATTTTTAGGCGCCATTTAAAAGCTATGGAAAGAAGTTTGTTACTTGAATAAAACAAAAAAAAGGCTAAAAACTTGATATATTTTCTTTATTAAATAACAAAATTCAATGATTTTAATTAATAAACTGATTAAAGCTTGCTTGTAATTTTATTAAATTTAGTATTTAATATAAATAAACTTTGAAATTAAAGATTAAATTTACAAAAAAGACATTATCTACTCCACTACATACACATATACAAACACAAACAAACAAATGAACGAACGAACAAACAAACAAACAGACAAACAAACAGACAGACAGATAGACAAACTCAAACAACTGAATAGATGCTTTTGTTAATCATGCGATTAAATGAAATCTAATCTATATGACCTATGTATGTAATGCTTCATCATCCATGTACAAATATTTATTTAAATCGCTTCTTTTGATCATATATAAATAAGAGAAATATATAAATAGAAAAATATTTTAAATTTTTTTCTTATTTAACAAGATGGAAGCGGAAAAACCCATTCATAGACGGCCTGCTGCAATGATAAATTCAACATTGCACTATAAAACTAATAGTATCTGACGTGAAATCAAATCCCCACTAACATACGTCTGGTCACTTTTCTAAGCCTATTTCATCCCGTCCGATCGTTTCATGTCTCTCTGTTTGGTTTCGTTCGATCGTTCGTTCGTTCGTTTGTTCGTTTGTTTCGTTCGTTCGTTCTTTCGTTTGTTCGTTAGTAGTATTTGTTTGTTCACTTTTAGCTACAGATTTTTGTTCATATGTGTGCCATTAATGTATTAAACATAAAGAATTTTATATTTTTCAAATTTTCTTAATCCAAATTCAAATTATCTTATTATAAAACGTTACGAGATTCATCAAACGAGTGAATCCTTGATGGCATATCTGCATAACGAATTATGATTGGTCGTCGCCGCTGTCGGAAGTGCCTATGATGTCGTAATACGTTGTTGAAGTTTTTTTTCTTGTTTTTTTTTTGTTTTATTCATGATCTTTTTAATTTTTTTTTCTGTTGACGTTGTTGAGTGGCGTCTAAATGCAACAGAGCAATTTTAATTAAGTTAATAATCCTGGAAAATTGTTTTTCTGAAATTTAAAAAAATGTGGAAAAAGATTTTATATATAAACATGTGTGTGTGTGTGTATTTTTTCTTTGCGTGTGAATGTATATATATGTATACGTAACATACATTTAAATGCAACGCTTGCGATTCGCCAACACAAATTTGTCAAACTTAAGGTTTTTTGACCAGCATTTTCATTTTATTTTGTTTTTTCAGTATTTTGGGTAAAATAATAAATATTATTATTTGTAAAATGTAATTAATATCATTATTGTCTATGAACAATATGAAATAATGAAATATAGATTTAGAATGACATTTATGCTAAAATTTGGTTTAGTATTCATCTGTGTTTTATTTTACGTTACATGGTTCATATATCTGAGGAGCGTACATACTACTGATTCGTGCTACGAATATCAGCATCATCAAATCTGCTATAGTTTTCGGTTCAACTCTAAAGAAATTTTATATCGCGATGTTAATGTCGTTAATAAGGAAATTGGTTTACATAATGGTAGCAGTAGCGAGGTTAGTTTAAATGAAAAATTGAAATTTAGTAAATCTGTCGTTAACAAAAGCATGACACAACGACAACAACATCATCAACGAAATCAAAAGCAAGACTTGAAGAGACGCCTGCCACAGTGCCTGATAATTGGAGCTCGCAAATCAGGAACAAGGTACATTTCCATTTTTTAAAATTTTTGTCACGATAAATAAATTGTAATTAGTTTATATTAAATATAGAAAATATTGAAGTGAAAACTCTTTTCAATTTTCTCAGCATCATTTTTTCTCAATAACTGTTTGTGACATTTCATGCGAAATGCAATAAACACAAAATGTGGCAATATACACATAACACATGAACAGAACGTACGCACAGCTTAAATTAGATTTGTTTTGTTTTTGAACCCGGTCATTTTGTAACAGACCAAAGACAAAACTTTAATGACGTTTTTTTAAAATGAATAACGGATAATTTCAAGCAGAGCTTTGCTGGAATTTTTAAGCCTTCATTCGTCGATCAAAGCTCAAAAACGCGAAGTTCACTTTTTTGATTCAGACGAAAATTTTGCGAAAGGCTTCGACTGGTACCGACAACAAATGCCGACATCTTTACTTTCGGATATCACGATTGAAAAAACTCCCGCTTATTTCGTCAAAGATAAGGTACAATTTATCTTTACAGTTTGTTTTTTGGCATATTCGTGTCGGTAAATTTTGCACTACTGACATTTTAATTACCTTATATATAAAAATATATTTTATTGTTTATTATAAAATAATAATAGAAATTATAATGATGCAATGTTTCCAGGTGCCACACCGTGTACACCTAATGAGCAACAACATCAGCCTGCTTCTCATTCTAAGAAATCCCGTCTACAGAACTCTCTCAGACTACACCCAACTGAAACTTTCGAGAAACAGAAGAGGATTTGGCTATCCGTCTTTCGAAACATTTGCCTTCGATGCCAAAACCCAGATGGTAAGAAAAAATTACAAAGCAATCCGGAGATCCATCTACCACCGGCATTTTAAAAAGTGGCTGAAATATTTCAAACTATCTCAAATCCACATCATAAATGGGGATAATTTTATAAAGAACCCTCTGTTCGAAATGCGAAAAGTTGAGAAATTTTTAAATTTAAAGAACGAATTGACGAAACAAAATTTTTATTTGAACGCGTCGAGAAATTTTTACTGCATGCGACTACGGAACGAAACAACAAAATGCCTCCACTCGAGTAAAGGAAGAAGTTACAAAAACCTCAGTTACGATTCCATGAACAAACTTGTGAAATTTTTTCGCGGACACAACAGACGGTTTTATAAGTTAGTTGGGGTTGATTTCAATTGGGAGAGATCTGTGCGAATGACTTTAAATAAAATTAAAAAGCATGCTAATAAAAATGTCTCCAGCATTAAGCCGCTACTGGCCTCATTTTGACATTTTATACAAAATTTCACAGATATAACAAAACACTTGCTTTATAGTGCAAATTTGTTAAATAGGGTATCAAATATTCACCCTTATTACAGAAAACTTTTTATAAACAAAATTGTTTTTTTTTGTACAACGTATATGAATAGTTGTATACGATTGTGTTACGTCAAATAACAATAGATACAATACAACTTTAAAGTAATATTGAAATACTTTGCACGTGATAGAAATAGAAAAATGAAATCTGAATGTAATTAATTCAAGAAAGGCGTGAAATTCTTTCGAAAACTTTGAAAGTTATTGATCTCTTATCGAGAACTGTTGTTAGTTTCCAATTGTTTATTTATATTTGTCTATCGTCATAAGCTGTCGCTATCTGGTTTAAGTGAATTTTCAATAATACAGGACAGGTCATATAAAAAGCCTAGCGACCAAATAACATTTATGGGTAGTTCCTAGCGATCAAAATTAAATATAAAAAAACACCTCAAACAACATTGTAGCCGAACTATGTAAATGCATCGAAACTTGTATCGCATAACTCTGGTTTCTCTTCATTCCACGAATAAATCTTTCGCCTTTTACTAAAGATTTCCGTGGAGAGGAACATTACAATGAGTGTTCATTGAATTTGTTTCAGCCCCTTAAATGGGGTAGTTATTAATTGAATTATATGATCGGTCTTGGAATCAGCTTGGATTAATACAGTTAAAGTTTATGGTGGTGATACCATTTATTTGCTAGGGGTGGTCCAAAGCGTTGATGTCAGCAGAAATTAGCTTTTGTGTTTGTGTGTTGGTATTTGTATTTGCTATGTGGTGGCATTGCGTTAGAACGGTTCGTGCAAAGGTGTTATAGGTTGCTGTTTTCAATACGCTTAGTCACCATTTGCGTATTTACTTACTCACTAATTGGCAGGTATCAGGTTAAAAATTTAATTGAAATTTTTTGCCGTTTCAATCAGGTTTTTTGTTATTATAAATAGAAAATTTATTTCTTAAAACCGTACCTGGCTGATATTTTTAGCTTTTTTTACCAGTATAATTTCATAGATGATTATGTCGATCAAATTGTTGTTGTTTTTGCTTGCCATCAACGCCGCTCAATCTTCCAGTAAATGAAATACATGGACTGTCTGTCCTTCTAAGAATGGTTTGAAAATCATAAACTATGTCGCTATAATATTTTTTTATGTACATGCTTGTTTTATTTTTGGAGCTGATTATGTCTCTCCGATTGATTATTCTACGTGATTAGTTTATATTTCACAAAATCAACGCTAAAAAACTTTATTTTGTGTTTTTAAATATTCATAAGCTTTGTAAATTTGAAAGATAAAATAATAAAATAATTTGTTACATTGTTAAATCAGCTGTTATATTATATTTCCACTCCACACACACACGCGTGCACGCGCGTACGTATAAATATAAGCATGTTTGTTTAAGAGCAGACGAGCGACTAAATAAAATTTATGAATAGGTTATGGCGATCAAAATTAAATTTTAAAAACACCTCAAACAATAATCCGAAAAACTATAAAAGTGCCATTTAATGAGCTGCGAGTTAACTCTGGTTTCTCTTCATTCCACGAATAAATCTTTCGCCTTTTACTAAAGATTTCCGTGGAGAGGAACATTACAATGAGTGTTCATTGAATTTGTTTCAGCCCCTTAATTGGGGTAGTTAATAAAAAATTACATTTTTAGTTCGTGGCTTCGCTTTGAATTTGAGTTTCCATCGCTCTTTAATGTATTTACACCGTCGACCCGTTGATTTAATTTTGGTGTGTTTTGATTTAATAATTTACTGTTTGTTAAATAGATCGACGCTAAAAATCATAATCGTTACATTTTTTAAATTTAGATGAACATTTATAAATAAATTTTATTCTTTGAAATTTAATTCCGAGCCAGCAACGCCTTTTCCTCTTCTGTTTTTCTTTCTAGTTTAGAACGAAACAAACCCAACACTACTTTGTTGTGATCGCCTGTTATATTTCTTATTTCACCAAATTTTTCCTACGTAATTTTCCCGAGCCAACATGATTTGAAGTTGAGGATGTCTCCTCAGACACGCTCTTTGTATCATTGCAGTTGTCTCCTAAACAACGCTAACACTGTTTCCACAGATTTCGACATACTTGCTAATTGTAAATTCCCCAGGGACAATTTAAACCAACTTTTAATTATGAAAGTCCAGGAATTCTGAATGCAATAGTTCATTGCTAGGAAACGTTGGTAGGAAGAATTTCTTTAGAGATGAGATATATAACGAGAGATTTTTTAAATCTATTTTATTCACAAAAAAGTGAAAGAGTCAGCCTAGCAATAAATGCTTTTTAGGGTTGACTCCCTAATATAATATTAATATAAAAAAATAAAGATTTAACAAAGATAGATATAGGATTTATTTTACACACATATGGAACACCTATAAACATACTTAGAATACATAGAATACTAATAGTACAGTACTGATTTTTAAAATATTTTCATTCTATTCTAATTTTATCCACACATCCCTGTGCATTAATATATATATATATTCCCATCGATTGAGTACATGCGTTAGCCTTATCAGTGTACATTTATTTATAGAAACGCGTAAAAACACATGCACTAAGAAAATCACATGCTGCTTTTTCAAATGAAATTCAAATTCATTCATAAGTAAAATTTTCAACAAATTTTACGAAAAAAAAGTTTCCCAATTTTACTTATAAAAAATTCCGAATTAAACCCAAGTTTGATTTAATCTGTTATCTATCTATACTCTAAACCGGGTATCTTTTTTAACGTACCATTATGTGTAATAACTTAATTAAAAGCAGACAAACACATAAATTAATATAACTTATTATACATAGAGTTTCTATTATAAATATAATGTATTGTATTTAATGGATGAGTGTAATAATAAGCAACACCTAACATTTTAGCATTATTTAACAACATGTGATTTCATTCATTTCATAGCAACCTGTGTCACAACCTATATGTGAATCATGTTTTCTTTCACCCTGTGTTTGTGTGTGTGTGATGTGTGTGTGTGTGTGTGTGGTGTGTGTGTGTGTGAATAATTACATATAAGATGATACTCAACTCAAGCACACTGCAATCACCTGTGTTTATATTGCCAATCATCATTCATTTGTGTAATAAAATTATATGGTTGGTTGTAATTTTTGCATAGGTGTGTTGTGTTTCCTACTTCATCCAATTTCTGGAATGATCTTGTTATGAAATAAATAAAAACATGTATGTATGTGTGTGTGTGTGTGTGTGTACGTGCGTATGTGTGTGTGTGTATTTAAGTATGTATGTTTATATATGGAAGCAAATTAATGATTCTTGCGTACGTAGATCTATAATAGATCGTTCGTTCATTATATAACGATTTTGCGTACAACGCTGCTTCTCTCTCACTTTCTCTCTCTTTCTCTCTCTTACTCTCTCTCTCCTTCTTTCTCTGTTTTACTCTCTCCTTCTCTCTTCTTATTTCCTCTCTTACTTTCTCTCTATCTAGATAATACCAGTGTTGTGCATGCATCAATTGTGTTATATAAGCTGAAGCTGATCATTATTTCTGAGTTCTGCTGATATTTTTCTAATTGTTTTATTGTACTACTTTGTATTTCCCTTCAGGTCTGATCGAGTTTGTATATATTAATTGTAATATATTTATAAATAAAGTATATAGTATGTATATGTATGTATGTATATATGTATAAATATACGTATGTGTGTATGTATATGTATATATATATATATATACATACATACATATATATATATATAGAGAGAGAGAGAGAAAGAGAGAGTTTTATATAATAATTAAGAGACACTATGGAGTAGTTATCTTCAAATAAATGTGTTCTATTAAAATTTTTATATTGAAAAGGGTGATAAGATTTTCTAGGCAACAAAAACGTTATGTAACGTAACTGGTAACAGTAGTGGTTACTGTATTTGCTGAATATATAAATGGAATTTAGGCAAAATTAAATAGTATTTTTTGGTGTCTTTTTAAACTGATTTAATTGTATTAAATTCAAGATTTAGGTTGGAGTTTGGATGACTGAAACAGTAGAAAACCTATAACATATAACAGTGACTGAATTTTCCGAATATAAATACAATTTCATCTATTATTTGCTTTGTGTGGTTTTTATTCAGCTGACAGTCTCTAGACACTCTAGACAGTCTAATCGTCTAATCCCTAGACCAAAAGAAGTCTTGAACGACAAAACTTGAAGACAATAACTAACTCAACAACTTAATAAATAAATAATAACAATTAATTGGCCTCGCACAGACAACTTAATTAATCAATTAATTAATATTTATTAATTGATCTCAGTTATTAAAAAACAACAAGATGGTTTGCACGCCATGTTGCAGACAATTCAGCCTCCTTCTTTGGAAAAATTGGCTACTCCAGAAAAGAAAAATAATTCTAACAATAGTCGAAGTCTTGCTGCCCGTGCTTTTTGCTGCAATTTTACTAGCAATCAGATCAAAAACCGCCTCTAATTTCGTCTCGGAGCCAACCACTGAAGGCAGATTTGAAGTCAAAACGGCCCCAACAAATGTTACTGTTCCGCCGATGCAGTCTAGAAAGCGTTTGGCATTCACGCCGAATACTGATTTCACTCGCAAAATCATCAACAGAACATTAAATATGATGTCTATTCCGTTCGCTCCAGGTTTAATATATTTTTGAAAATTATTTTCCATCAGTTGAATTTGATTTTTACATTTGATTATTTAAATATTTGAAAAACTCGAAACGTAAATTTTGAAATATTAATTCAAAATAACGTTAATATTATATCGGAGTTTTGCAATCTTATCGTTACAAGCCTTGACTCTCACAATTTTTTTATATTTTCAAAATGTAGAGCTAGGTTTCGACACAGAGAAAGAATTGGAATACAACGTCTCATCGACTGACTACGTCCTGGCAGGGGTAGTCTTCTTGGATTCTTCATTCCAAGACAGCCAGACATTCAACAGTACTATCACCTACAAAATCAGGATGAAGTCTGAAGAGAAAGTTCCAGGAACGAATGTACTTCGTAGTAAAGATTGGAGAACAGAGTTCCTCATGCCTCCGTATAAAGTTGTTGGCGGGCCAAGGCAGAATACTTCAATGGGACCAGGAGGCACGGACCCGGGTAAATTTTGTTTGCTGATTGAAAAATTAAAAAAAAATTTTTTTTTGTGTTTTGCCAATCACAGAATTGAAGAAAATCATTAAAAAATAATAATAATAACATCAAAACAGCCAACCGATCGCGATGACGAATGAATAAATCAATTGTTAAAATCATTAAAACACTTCAGGTTACCTGGTGAACGGCTTCTTAGTATTGCAAAGAGCCCTAGACGCCAGCATCATCAAAGAACTGGGAGGTAACGAGAATGAAATGAAAACGTTCCTCAAGAAATATGCCTACCCCCCCTATTTGAGTGACGTCTTTACCTTCATCTTGAGCACACAGTTCCCATTCATAGTCATGCTTAGTTTCATCGTCATATCACCCACGATTTGTAGCGAGATAACTGCAGAGAAAGAGAAAAAATTGAAGGTGAAAGTTTTTTTTTTTTAGTAAATAATTTTGTTTGTTTTTTTATTCAGAAATGGCTAATGCGCCTGGTTCTGCTGTTGCAGTTACCAGGTTTGAATGCACGGAGATGCCTGCTTATCACGTGCGGTCCGTGCGTGTTGTTGTTGTTGATACTGTTGACAGTTAATAAGTATGTAAAGTATATTAATTTTATATCTTCGTTTGGAAATTATTTCATATCATTTTTCCATCACTTTCTTCATCTCAGGAGGCAATGAAGCTTATGGGCCTAAAAGTTTGGCTAAACTGGCTGGCGTGGTTTTTGAAATATCTGATTTTCATGATCCTATCAGTGGGCCTAATGACACTCTTTTTCCACGTCAAGTTGAAAAACGGAGCCATCATAAATTTTGCAAATGCCTCAGTCACATTCGTCTTCCTGCTACTCTACACCATCTCCATCATAATGTCGTGCTTCGTCATCTCGACTATCTTCAATAAAGGTGTGGTTGATTTTTTAATGTTTCATTACCTTGTGTTTTAGTTTTGTGTAATGTTTGTTGTTGTTTTTATTATTTTTTTATTGTTACTATTATCTTGATTGCCCATTAAGACCAGATAATGAATTTGAAAATAATTCGCCATAATAACAAACTTTCTCTATTTTTTTCAAATATACAAGTTATTTTTATTTAATTTAATTATCTAGTTTCATTACATTATAATTATTTATTATAATTATTTTAGAATTTATTTGATAATTATTTTTCCCGCCATTTTTTTGTAGCGAGTTTGTCTGCGGCTGCCGGAGCACTCTTCTTCTTCCTCTCATACTTCCCATTTTTCTCGCTCTACAGTACCTTCGATACCACATCCACCACAATTCGGTTCGTCCTATCCATTATTCCAAATTTGGGAATGTCATACGGCTGCACCATCCTATCCCGATTTGAATTAGTAGGTTAGGGATTGTTTAGTGAAATGTCACGTGTGTAGTTTGAGTTTTTTTATTCGTTTAAATTTTGTTTTTTTTTATAGATTTTTCATTTCAATGAAAACATCTCAATAAAAATATTTACATACAAAAAAATTCACATACAACGAAAAATATAAACAAACAAAACTGAGATCACATACAAAATTGAAAAATTGCACCCAAACGCAGGCATAAGCCTAACATGGAAGAATCTCCACTACGGATCGAACAGCTCTGACAGTTTCTCCATGCTGCACGTATTCATATCATTCCTGATTAGCATCCTAATCTCGATGTTTCTGACTTGGTACATTGAAAATGTTAATCCCGGGGAGTTCGGTACGCCACAGCCGTTTTATTTCCCGTTCCTGGTAAGAAAAATGGGATTTTTTTTATGCGTTTAACTTCTTCTCGGTCTGTCTGTTTGTCTGTCTCTCTGTTTCTGTCTGTCTGTTTCTTCCTGTTTGTTTGTTTCTCTTTGTTTTTCTTTCTCACTTCCTTCGTTTTATTTTCCAATCTTGGCAAGAAAATTTAAGAATTTGTTTTCTTTTGTGTTTAACTCATTTTTCTGTCTGTCTGTTTGACTGTCTCCGTTTTCTTTCTCTCTCTCTCTATCTTTCTGTCTGCCTGTCTCTTTTTTTTCTAAATCTTTCTTTATCTTTGTTTTTTGTTATTTATGATATTTAATAATTTAAATTTTTTAAAAATGCCTGTGGAAATTTTAGAAGTGTGTACTTGAGAATTGAATGAGCCCTTGAAGGATTTTGTTAGACATTTTGTTAGACATTTTTTTCATTATTTATTTGTTTTCTTGTCCTTATTTTCTGTTACATAATGTGAATTATAAGTGGGCTGAAACTTGAACCAATAAAATCTCCTTTCTCTCTTTTTTAATCTTTCACATTTTTATTTTTCTTTCTTTCTTTCTTTCTTTTTTCCTTTCTTTCTTTCTCTCTCTCTTCCGTATCTCTTAAATATTTCTTCATCTTCCTCGATCTTTTTACTCTCTCATTATCAGTTTCTCTCTGTATCACTCTTTTTCTCTCTTTTTTTTTCATTCGTTCTCATTATTTTTTTCTCTCGTTCCTATCTCTTTTTCCTTCTTTGATAAATTTCTTAAGTAGTTTGTTTATAACTTTTCGTGATTAAATGTGGTGAGTGTGGGTTTGTGTGTGCGTGCGTGCGAGCCTGTGTGTTGGTGTGTGTGTGTGTGTGCGCACTTAAGTTAATATTAAATCTGTTACCTTTATAAATTTTGTAATAGATAATTTATTATCTGAATTCAAACTCATGTGATTGAGTGTTTAAGCATGCATGTTTTATTAATGATACATCACACAACACACACACACACACACACACACACACACACACGCACGCACGGTAACTACAGCACAAGATCAAATCATAGACAATTCGACCATTAAACTATCTTGCCATCTATTATTTTCATCAACATTAACACGTAATTCTTAAATGGATATGCATCTCAAACTTTTTTAGAAATTTGTATCTGGCCGCCCAATATTATTAATATATCAAACATGATACATTCATGTATCTCAAATTTTAATATCATTAATATATCATATTTAGATACATCTGTATCTCAACTTTTTCAGAAACGATACTGGTGCGGTTTTAAGAAGGGCAGCGTCGATGGTTCCATGCTCAACATACAACCGGATTTTGGAGATAGGAGTGAGTATTTTGAACCGCTGACCTCAAATAGCAACAACAACATTGGAATCCAAATAAGAAATCTTACAAAAGTATGTCAAGAGTGTATCCTTGTATGAGTATCTATGCTACTAATTTTAAAATCGCTAATTTTTGTCATTTTTTGTTGTCTTTTTATTTGATTAACTGAATTTAAGCTCTGCTTAAATTCAGTTAATCAAATGATCTAACTGATTTCAAAATTTTTTAAATTTGTCGCGAAGGTTTTCAAAAAGGGTACCAAACCAGCGGTAAATAACTTGAGTTTGGATATTTGTGAGGGCAAAATCACGGCCCTACTGGGCCACAATGGGGCTGGAAAGACGACCACTATGTCTATGCTTACAGGTTTGATGCTCCTCATAGTTTTGTTACTTGACAGACAAATTTGAAATTTAATGCGGTTTCAAGAGGTATTTTTAGAATTTTAAGAAAACTCGACGTTGGATCAATGTATTATTGTAAAATAAAAGATTTAATGTTATAAAATAAAAGATTTAATATTCGCAGTATTTGATTTCTCATTAACTAGTTTACAAAATAAAACCAAGTTTAATATCAATTACAACGATGATGGGATAAGTTCCTTTCAAAAAATTTATTCTCCTTACTCCAAATTATTTCCAGGATTCATGCCACCGACACGGGGTACCGCCTACATAAACGGTAACGACATCAGGTACGAAATGCCAATGATCAGGAAAAATCTTGGCCTCTGCCCCCAGTTCAACATTCTCTTCGACAAACTCACTGTCAAAGAGCACCTGGAATTTTTTGCGATCGTTAGCAGTTACTTTTATCTTTTCTTTTATTCCATCTATCTTACTCAAACTGAAAAAATTGGGACGACGGGGCACCAAATGCTGTTTACAGATGCCCCGTCAGTCCTATTAACGCCAAATTTATTGATTCACAAGTGTTAGAGGACATTCTCTTTTATGCATCGGCAACACACAAGCATGTGACGGACTGCAATCACTTCAACATCGAACCCAATGACTGCAAGGCACAACCAGGCGGCTTCAATCGTTGTGCCACCAAATCCTTCAACGTTCTTAAAACGATTCTTGTGTATGTAATCGCCAATTATGGTTAGAGCGCAACCTAAAAAACTTGCTTTTTCACGTGCAACAGTTGAAAGGTTGTTCAAACGATGAACTGGAAGGTGAAGTTACGAACATGATTCGCATGTTGAACCTGGAAGTTAAGACCGACGTCTTCTCAAAGTCTTTATCCGGTGGTATGAAGCGCAAACTCTCCGTTGGGATTTCTCTGATTGCCGGCTCAAATGTTTGCGAATACTTTATTTTATTATGGTTGATAATAAATTTTATTATCTATTACTTTTTTCGTTGTTATTATTATGTTAATTATAATTTTGTTAATTTTTATTGATTTTATTCTTTTAATTATGCGCGCGCAAAAAATATTTTGTATCCTGTGCCTATTTTAACGTAAGATTGTTTCATTTTTTGGCTGGTTAGGTTTCTTCATAAACAATACCACGTAACACACGCACATTTGTTTGTATTTACGTGCGACATTGTGATCATTTCTGACTTGTGCACGAGATGATATTCGGTTCGAACCCGGTGGCCACGTAATGGTTCATAAAAACAAAAAACGTGGTAAGGCCACTTATTGTCTAGGATAATTTGAATTAACTACTCCCACTTGAAAGTTTGTAATCCTGGACGAGCCATCATCGGGAATGGATCCCGAGGCACGCAGGCAGATGTGGGATCTTCTGAAGACTCAGCAGAAGGGTCGGACAATGTTGCTGACGACACATTATATGGATGAGGCGGATTATTTGGGAGACAAAATTGCCATCATGGCGGACGGTGTAGTCCATTGTTACGGATCATCGATGTTTCTCAAGAGAAAATACGGTCTGCTTTCACATTTTTTGCTGCTATTTTTATATAATCTTATAAAATAGCACGATGGTATAATGGTTAAGGTACATGGCACTGTTGTTGCAGTGCCTAGGTTCGATGGCATATAGATCCCGCCTGTCACATGCAATGTGTGTGATGCGTTGTTGATGTGGAATTTTTCCAATTTCCAGGCATTGGGTATCACATGACGATGGTCAAAGCTCCGAAATGTGACGTCACCCTCGTCGACTCTCTCATTAAATCGAAGATTCCAGATGCCGCCATGGAAAGCAACGCCGGCGCCGAGCTAACTTACGTTCTGCCTAAAGAATATTCTTCAAAATTTCCTGAATTGTTTGCTGAGTTAGAGAGAGATGGTGATAAAATTGGAGTGGATAGTTTTGGAACTTCTGTTACTACTCTTGAAGAAGTTTTCATCAAGTAGGTCTCGCTCTGGTTCAACTCCTCACGCGTTGATTCTTATGTCAAAAATTTATGAAGATAATTAATTTCGAATAATGTTTTCTCCACCAGAGTTGGAGAGATGTGCGATAGAGATGCGTCTGACTCAAATGAAAATGGAAAAGTGGTTCGTGTGGAATCGAGTGACAACTTCATTGCTGTCACATCGTCTGTCAATCCAAGTCACTTTAACTTTTTATGCTGAGAGTTTCCATCATTTTAACAAAATTATGGCCATTATTTTAAAATATTATTATTCTATATTTTCAAAATGTAAATAGTTAAGCTATTTTTACGTTAAAGTTAAATATAAACTTTCAGTAATCGATTGGAAACTCGTCAAGGAGTCGAGAATTTCTGGATTTGCCTTGAAACTTCAGCAGCTGCAGGCGATGTTCGTTAAAAAGATTTTTCACACAACTCGAAACTGGATCCTCTCCATCATACAATTATTAATTCCGGTTATATTCGCCATTGTCGCATGCATCGTCGTCTCAATCATTCCAAAAGTCGCGGACCCACCGGCATTTCTCCTAGATCTTTCTGCTTATAAGCAAACCATAACTCCTTACGCATCCATTGTAAACGATTCTTACACCCCTGGTGATGCAAGCCGCCAAAACTGTTTCATGCAGAAGATGTTGAATGTTAAGCCTACTTTAGCCTATCTCAATGACTATTCAATTGGCTACTTTAATGAGACCTCCATGGACAATTATGTCGTAGGCATTGGAGAGAAGAATTCTTACGATTACCGGACGAAGTATCAGTTAGCTGTTGAAATAGGGTACGATTATTTAACTGGATTCTTCAATGACGAATCTTACCACACAATCGCTATGGCACTTTCACTTATTGACAACTTCTGGCTCTCGTGTCTCTTGTCTTCACAGTACAGCATAAAAACAATCAACCACCCCCTTCCTCTCTCCTTCGAGTTGAAGGCCACCGTAAACGACAGCAAAGCACTGCTTTCTGGATTTGTCTTCTCGTACTGCCTCATGTTTGGAATCGCTTTCCTCATTGCTTCCTTCATCATTTTTTTGGTCAACGAGAGAGTTTCCGGCGCCAAAGGAAGCCAGTACGTCAGCGGAGCCACTAGTAACGTTTTCTGGTTTGCAAATTTCATTTGGGATTATTTTAATTACCTCATCCCGTCTGTACTCGTCGTCATCGTCATTGTGGCTTTCCAACTTGAAGGGTTTTCATCCGGAAATAACGCGGGGTACGTTATGTGAAGCTTAGACTCTGAATGTGTATTTCGTAATTTTTAAAATTCAAATTTGTCATCGAAATTTCAATACGAGGCTATTTTTTCATACTAAAATTTAAGTTTAATTTAGATTTATAATTTATTTCGTTAAAGTAATCTCATAATTATTCGGTAAATAGCGATAAAATGATTTGATAAAATTAAAAAAATAATTTTTAGGTATATATTTTTGAGTTTGTTGTTGTACGGTTGGTCGGTTCTCCCCTCAATCTACATCCTCTCGTTCTTTTTCTCTAAAGCATCTTCCGGATTTGTCTGGGCTATTATAATAAATATTTTTACAGGTATGAGGTTGTGGTTTTAGTTAATTTTCTATTATTATTGATTTCAATTTTTTAACACCATAGGCACCGTAGCATCTGTGACGATACTACTTTTGGAAAAATTTGAAGATCTAAAGACGATCAAGTCCATTTTGGAGTGGATGTTCTTTGTTTTGTTTCCGAATTTCTGCTTTCAGAGATCTCTACAAGATGTCGACGCAAACTACCAGTACACAAAAACCTGTGCGACCATCAATGCGACCATCCCTCTTGACAAATTTTGCGCCGGTGCTAAAGCTTTAAATCAAACTAACCGTTGCTGCCCAGGTTTGCTCGGGAAACTGCAGCAATTATTTTTAATATTTATTAATTTTTTATTTAATTTTTTAAAATTTATTTAAGAATTTCGATACTGAAAATATATATTTATTTAATTTTCTCACTCAAGATGCATGCGGAAGCACTTGTCAAATTCCTCAAGATTATTTATCCTGGGTCTACCCTGGGATCGGGAAACCTTTAATATTCATGTCTATACAAGGACTCATATTTTTCATCATCCTTCTCATCTTTGAATCTGATTTACTGCAAAATATACGCACGAAATTCGCATCTCAGTCAGTCGCAGTGACTGAAAGTGATTCAGCTATTTATCCAAACAATACATCTTCCGAAGAAGATAGCGATGTCCTGGAGGAGAAAGCGAAAGTTTTGAAGTTGGAAATGTCCGATTTGATGTCTGAAGATAACATGCTCGTCATGAAGCAGCTGACGAAAGTTTATTCCGGGGGATTCCTAGCTGTTTCGAACCTTTGCCTGACGGTGAAGATTATTTTTATTAGTTTTCATTTTATTCAGTTTCAAACTCCACATTATATATAATGCATCAGATTTCGTCATACCTCTAATCTCGCATTGTAACTCCACTCGTTTTCAATAAAAACTGTCTCATTCCACACAATTTCAGGTGCCCCGAGGTGAATGTTTTGGACTTTTGGGAGTGAACGGAGCTGGCAAGACATCAACGTTTAAGATGTTGACCGGGGGAGAAACAATAAGCGCTGGCAACGTGTATTTGAAGGGAATCGATGTTGCAAAAAAACTTGCCAAAACAAGACCTTTTGTTGGTTACTGTCCCCAGTTTGATGCCCTGATTGACCAGCTGACCGTCAAGGAGACGATGGTCATGCATGCCAGATTGAGAGGCATCGACAGAACTGTCATCGATATCGTCACCGATGACCTCATTGAAAAATTAGTCCTGAGGAAATACAAAAACAAGATGGCCGGCAAATTGAGGTACATTTAAACATATGCAAGTATTTTTTTGTTTTAATAAACTTTTAAAATTTTGCAATTTGGCAAACGAAGTGGAGGAAACAAAAGAAAGTTGGGCATCGCAATAGCCCTGATCGGAGATCCTCTTCTGGTCTTCCTGGATGAACCAAGTGCCGGAATGGATCCCGTGGCTAGGAGGGAGCTGTGGAATTCTGTTGAAGCTGCCAGGGATTCGGGCAGTACCATCATTCTTACCAGTCACAGGTAGGAGACAGTTATTTTTATGTTTGAAAAATATTTAGCGAACTGATTACTGTAGTTATGAAACTTTATATTTTATAAGCTAATTAATACGAATGTGTTTTCATTTCAAAGCATGGAGGAATGCGAGGCGCTGTGCACGAGATTGGCAATCATGGTGAATGGTCGTTTCAAGTGCTTGGGAAGTTGTCAGCACTTGAAATCCAAATTCGGCAGCGGCTACACGGTCTCATTCAAAGTGCAGCAAGGACCTAACCTCGACAACAACATCACCAACATCATCGCTGTCAAAAATTTTGTGGCCGCCAAGTATCCAGGCTCCGTCCTTGAGTTTGAAGGTGAAGGACTACTGACCTATCGAATCGAGAAAAATGCGAACGGTCAGCAAAACACGTTGGCAGGAGTTTTTACGAGTGTGGAGCTATTCAAAGAGTCATTCAAGCTGGAAGATTATTCAGTGGGTCAGGCGACCTTGGAACAGGTCTTCATAACTTTCGCTAAAGGTCAAAGAGAAGAGGGTGATGGTAAAAAATCTAAAAAGTCATTGAGACCCTTTTGTAAGAAGATGTGCTGTTGCTGTCGTGACTGCTAAGTGTCTCTCTCTGTGTGCGTGCGCGCGTCACTGTGTGGTCTTCTTTGCAGTTATAATTTTTTCCTAAATTTTCACCAACGTCATATTTGTACATAAAATGAACTTCTAGTTAAAAAGGTAATATATATGAAACTTGTCTATTGATGTCATGTTATATTATAATATTGTATATAAATATATTACATAAAATATTACATAGAGGATATATAATGTGTTAAGATAAAAATAAATAAGTTAAAAATGTGTTGACATGTGGTATGGACATGTGCTGAGAAGGGATGAAAGGGTCGGATTAGGCGAGCGTTGGAGTTCGAGGTTGAAGAAGTGATAGGAAGGGGTCGTTCGCGATTGGGATGGAGAGAGCAGGTGGAGAAGGACAGGGTGAAAGCGGGGTTGCGTGATACTGAGGCGAGTGACAGATGTGAATGGCGTCGAGGGGTATTTCGGGTTCATCATAGGTAGCCAAACGGCAACTCCCGATCTCAGAGAAAATGTCGTCTAAGCGTGTGTTGTTGTTGTAAGATATAAATAAATTGTATCTAGGAGAGCCAACGTTGTAATCGTAGATAGACAGACAGACAGATGGGCGGATGGATGAATGGATGGATAGATGGATGGATAATAGATAGATAGATGGAATGGATGGATATAGATAGAGAGAGGGAGAATTTTTTCATCACGAGGTACCTATTTGCACTTGAAAATACAATCTAAAACAATCATTCCAATAAATAAAAGAATGTTTTTCTTTTTTTGCAATTTTTAATTTTTCAATTTTCATGACTTGAATGGATAGTCTCTTTATTCAACCATTCGATATATATCTAAAACATTATGTGTGTGTGTGTGTATGTGTGTGTGTGTGTGTGTGTTGTGTGTGTGTGTTTGAGAGAGAGCGAGAAATTGTATATATTTTGTTTTCATTGAAAACTTTAAAACTTTATAATGACTGATTGTTTTAAATCGAGCTGCATATTTATCGCATATTTTGCATACATTTTATTTACACGCACACACACATGATATTTATTAATACTATTATATTGATTTTATTCCATCTTTTTTTTATATGAAAATATTTCATTTGTTTCAATTATCTTGCCTATGATTAAATATAACTTCTAGTTGTGTGTGTGTACGTGTGTCAGTGTGTGTGCGCGCGCGTGTGTGTGTCTGTGTTTTATCTTTTTTGCCATAACGATTCGCTCTTCTATGAGTTTTTAAATGTGAAATGTCTTTTTTTAAAATTAAATAGATGTCGTTTTAAAAATGTGAATGGAACTTCGAGTACCTGGAAATTTAAAAAAAATTAAATTAACACATATATTAATATAATTAATAACAAATAATAAAATGTTTGCCACACTTACTAACTAGCTAGAACATCCATTAATGAAAGTTTAATTAAAATAGTATCAAAGAAAGTATAGTAGTACCATAGAAGGCATAAAATGCTACTTAAAGAGTATTTAAAATGGCACCAACGAGAGTTTAATATTTGCCTGGAAAACATTGTAACGTAGGACACAATATTGGCATAACTTTTTTCCGACTCAAAAAATCTGACTAGCGTCAAACTGCAAACACACACACACTCACACACACACATACACACACACATTCTCCATCATTCCATATATAACTCACAGCACATCTGCCTACACAGCAACGACGCCATATTTACCTGGTGAATCAATCCAGGTGTGTATGCAGTTGTGCATGCGTGTATATGTGCATCTATGTATGTATGTATGTGTAAATGTGTGTATGTATGTGTGTATGTGTGTGCGTGTGTATATGTGTGTATGTATGTGTGTGTATCAATATCTATGGTGTAGTTGGTAGGTACACAGTTTTTTTCACTGCATCGTCAACATATTTGCACTGTGTTTGAAGTCTTGCTAAGCCAATATTTACACACATTTCTAAACGCGTTTCTTATTTAAGAGAGTTCGGAATGACGTAACGTTAAACAGTGAAGTTACGGTAGGATAAAGTTAGGATACAATAACGATAAAATATCGAAATGATAAATAACCTTATATAATAGTATAACAATAACATAACGATACTATACTATAACGAAACGAGACAGTAACGACATGATGATTTAATAAAGAAACGGTTGGATTCTTTTCTTTTCACAAATAAAAGCCCTTATTCTGAAATTGCTCTTTTAAATTCTTAATTTCGTTTAATTGAAATATCAATTTAAAATTAATTTAATTAAAACTGATATTATTACAGCTATAAAATAATTAACAAATAATAATATAAAATGTTAATTCAATGGGCGACTCTGGGATCTGAGTTTTTTCGTCGTAATGTGAATTGCTAATGATTTCATTGGTAATTCATTATTTGGCAGCTACTCAGTGTCGCTGTGCATACGTGTGCGTGTGTATGCGTGTGTGTTTGTGTGTGTCTGTGTGTGTGTGTCTGAGTGTGTGTCTGTGTGTGTGTCTGAGTGTGTGTCTGAGTATGTGTCTGAGTGTGTGTATGTGTGTATTTTAATCTGTTTAGTCGCGCTTGACATTTTGTGTGTGAGTGTGTGTGTGTGTGTGTGTATTTTAGTTTTTTAATTTGTCTAATCGCTAGACGCAATGTATAATAGACCGTAGCGTAGTGAGATTAGCTACTGTGAAAAAAACTATTCCCAAGGCTAAGCAACGATGAATGGATGGATGGTACTACACAAACAAAGCAAAATAATGTGCGTGCGTGTGTGCTTGCGTGCGAGTGTGTGCGTGTTTATGTGTGTTTGTGTGTGTAAATGTGTTTGTGTGTGTGTGTGCGTTTGTGTGTGTTTGTGTGTGTTTGTGTGTGGGTGTGTGTGTGGCATGTTTGCATGCGTACGTACAGTATATATATATACACATACACATACACACATACATCCAGTCAGTTAATGATGATTCATCGCTCTTTTATTTCAGTTTTAAAAGTGCATCAGTGTGGGTGATAAAATTTCTCGATAGGAAAAATTTGTGTAACTTTTCACATTATTAATTAATAAACTGTGTCAATTTGTACTATTACTGCTGCTGCTGCTACTACTACTACTACTACTACTACTACTACTACTACTACTACTACTATTACTACTGCTGCTGCTGCTGTTACTACTACTGCTAGTACTACTACTACTTCTAATATTATTATTGTGTAATTATTAGTAGTAGTAGCAATAGTAATATTATTATAATTATTATTGCATTATTATTGAACGCTTCGAACAATTTTCTTGAAAATATTTGAATGAAATAATGAGAAACTAATTTGCATTACTGAAAAGTTGAAAAAGAAATTAAGAGTTGAAGTTAAGATGAAAACGCATCAAAGGTGGGTACGTTAACATTGTAGATTTACAATATTTGTAATTTATATTCAATCGTGTGCGTGCGTGCGTGCGTGTGTGTGGTGTGTGCGTGCGTGCGTGCATGTATGCGTTGTACTATTATTGATAGAAACACAGAAAATAACATGCTATCAATCTTATCGTCGTTAGATAGCATAAATTTACATGTTTTCCTACATTAAACACGAATTAGTGTGTGTGTGCGTGTGTGTGCATGTGTGTGTGTGTGAGTGTGTGTGAGTAAGTATGTGCGTGTGTACTTATGCGTGTGTGCGTATCCACACATTCATTCGTTTATACATATAGGCACCGCTAATAGTAGAGTAATATAGCGAAAATGCCGTATTGTCTATAATGGTAGGCTGAACTTATACATTAACAATAACGTACATATATGATATAATAGTTCGCATTATTTGCTCTAACTACACATGTGAATATGTTCTGTAGAGTATAAGCAGTTAACAATGTCGTTTGTGTGTTGTTTTTAAAAATGTATATAGAACTAATTTTAACCAAACAATAATATTGTTTAAACTATTTATCTACATTATTTCCTAGCTTATTTTATTTTTGTTTTAATAAATTTTATTTACGGTTTGTTAGATGTATCAATTTTCAATTCTGATTAATACCGATGACTCCAATTAAGTAATTATACCAGCAATCCTTTGTGATGTTTTTAAAAGTATAAATAGTAATATTTGTGTGGAGAAATATCCGGTTTAATGATAGGAATGATATATTAAGTCCAATTAGAAACAAACATTTCTGATGTTGTTATATTTTCGTTTACAGCTGAACCAGCAAAACTGAAAGGATGTCATCAATTGGAACTTTATTTTTCATGCTGTTGGCCAGTTTGTCATTCCAACGTAACAGCAACCCAACAGCACAATCGAGCAACAATAACAACAACAACAACCTATCAACGCAACCAACAACAATGACGTCATGGTCATCATCAACAACAGACCAGCTGACAGAAGCCGACAACATCACGAGTTACAAGTGTCCCATCACATTCGCTGACAACGTCACTGGTGACATCTTGCGACAGCAATTCAAAATGAACACGTCTGGCGGTATAGTTTACATGGTGTACTTCAAGTTAAGGTACCAGAATTTTGACGGAAACACTGCCGTCTTCAACATTTCTGGTCCGGACACGTTCGCCCCGGATTTGTGGGCATGGGTTGCTGGGAAAGGAAAAAATTTGCTCAGACTTCCGCTAGATCATAAAATTTTATCGCTAGGTTTGTTAACGATCCAGTCAGCTGATATGGAAGTAAAATTTAGTTACGAAACGTACAGTTGTTTCAAAAGCATTCCATATGCGAGCACGAAGCACATAATTGGGAAGTTCATCAGTGAGAATGTAACATCGAACGGCACTTCTATAAACGCGGACACAGAAGGTCCGGTCATCTGCCGAAGTGTGTACGCTTTCTATCACGTGTTCTACGGATTGAAAGGGGTTGGGTTTGACTGCTGTATGCCCGGGAAGGTGTTGTACACGTGTGAGCAGGGGTACAGCGATGCCTTCGAAATAGTTTGGTACGGTCCGATAGCTTTGATGGGTTTAATTTATATAATTGGCATTGTGCACTTTTATAAGCTGTACAAGAAAAATTTCAATCAAGTCGAAGTGAGAAAGCTGTCTGGATTGAAGAAAACAGTGGACGAAATAAAGCATGATATCGTCAACAGGATCGTTGTGAACACTGAAAAGTGGGCTAGAATTCAATGCCCAGAGGCTCTGATTGCTCTCAGAGAACGCTGTGGAATCTTGGAAGTGCTCGGAGTAGGCAAATCTGAGCATGCTAAAATCATTTCTTTCTGTAGGATTATGTTTTCTATATTTTTATTTCTCGCTTATTATGGTATATGGGGTATATTTTTGAGAGTTTATTACGATCTGCTAAAAGATGTTTACCCGCATTTTAAAGATTCCGAAACAGTTTTTCTAAACATAATTGGTCACATTGGATGGGTGTTCTGCCCTAAGAAGTTGGGGATATATTCGTACGCAATATTCGAGGTGGTCTACACAGCCGTCGTTCCATTTCTAGCTTTATACATTTATCTAACTATACGTGCGAAAAAGTTAATTGTTGATGAACGCTCAAAGAAATGTTGCTTCAAGTACCTGCTCTTCTGTGATTCCACGTGCGGTCGAGGGATACAGTTTTTATTCATCGTGCTGCTTTTAATTCATTTCGTGATGCTTGGTGGAGTCTTCCTGACGTACGTGGTCTACCTCGTTGCACTGGGGGTCTTCGCCAACATCGACGTCGTCTCACCCTGGGTCATCCCGATCACCGTCTGCTTCCACTTATTCTCAACATCCTTCGACCCAGCCTACGCGAAGTACAAGCATTTTAAAGATTCGTTATTTTGTATCTGCTTCGAAGAGTTCAAGACTCTAATCATCAAGCAAAATAAAGAAATATTTCTGCCGCGAGATCTCATTGAAGATTTTTACATACCAAACTCGAGGAATCTCATTTATTCGTGTTTCTTAAGAATATTCTGGATACTGACCTTCATGTTTTTATTAGTTCTAGTCGTATTAACCCTACAATATCCGTACAACACGAAGCTCAACTCCTTAGTGCCATTCCTTGGTGTTCAAGTCGTCTTCGTGCTACCGTACCTGACGAAATTCATGTACGTCAGTCAGACGTCATCACCGCTGGAAGATACAGTACTGAAGCGAGACTTGCGCGATTATATAAGTCAGTACATCAAACAGCGTCCAGAACTGAAAGACCCACATCCTGAAAACGGTTCAGTGACTGAGCTGCTGAAAAGCTCCTCAAGCGATAACCTCAACGACAATAATAAGAACCATATGAATGAAATAAGCGAGGTGAACAGAGATAATGACGAACTCGAAATGAACGTCAACCCTAATGATTTCATCGCTGCCGCTAATGAATTAAAGCGCCATAGAGTTATCTGAACGTTTTTATGTAAAAATTTGATTTTATATAATTTAAATTAACAATTTTACCATCTAGTAACTTTACAAATCGAAACGAAAGATCAAAGTATTTTTAAACGTGTTTATTTACTCATTAACAATTATTACTGAAATATATCAGATCTCTACATGCACGTGTATATTATTTGAATCACGTAAACTGTTTTTACTATACCAGTTTAATAAAATTTTTAGATATGCTTTTAAAATTTGGAAAATAAAAAACAATTGTGATAAAGTCTTCCTTGCCAACATATTAAAAAAAAACAGTTGAAATAAGAACAGACGCGTGCACACACGCACACAACACACACCTTGTAAAACAATAAAAATAATAATAACGAAACAATATTAACAATAAAGAAAGTTCAGTTTAATCATCTGTACTAATAATCGGAACACTTTTAGAGGCCATCTTCCTAGCGAGATAGCGGGCCTTTGCATCGCTTAACGTATCTCCGACGGTTCTCTTGTCATGCTTAGGCTTATCTGCAGATCCAGATATTGGATTGGAATCATCGACCTTATTATTATTATTATTATTATTATTAGTAGTAGTAGTAGTATTATTATTGATGTTGTTGTTATCATTTGTTTCAGCAACTTTATCTCCAACTCTTCCCTCAGCTGATTTCAATTCATACTCTCCATCTTCCGACGAAGAAGAGGAAACGATGGAATCGTCGTCGGTATCTCCCGAGTGTTGTAGAGCTGCTGCTGCTGACACATTCTTACCAGCATCCTTTTTGAACCTCTTAACTTTTTTTGTGGAATCGGAATTCGAGCTTTCATCACCTGAACTTTCATCCTTACTTCTGCTACCTTTTACATGCTCTCTTTTGCCTATTTCCCTGTGGGATTTAACCTTATCATAACTCTTTGAGACGTGATGATGTGATGAAGACGATGAAGATGTTGATGGTGTTGGCATTTTATCACCACTGTGGGCTTCAGATTTTTTAGAATGATGATGATCAACATGACCGTGGTGACGATGATCTCGAGAGGATGATGACGATGACGACGATGATGATGACGGTCTAGAAATTTCTTGCTTTTTAGAAGTTTCTACTTTACACGTATTGACTTTTTCTTTTGAAGATTTCATGGAAACATCATCATCAGCGTCAGGGTTTTTGACTCTTTGATTCAAGATATTTCTGTAGAAATCGACAAAGCCTTTATCCTTATCAGAACTCTGTAACTCTGTGTTGTAATAAAAATGTCAACCAGATGTGTTATAGATCGACTTGAATACATTATAAATGTTTAAATACAAAAAAAAAACAATTTAAATTTCCAACTTTTAAATCAACACACAAACATACAAACCCATACAAACCACAGACAAAGCCAAAATTCACCCACATGCTGACAAATTTAAAAAACCCGACCTTCCAGTAACTGCTGCTTCTTCTCCATCTCTTCCTCTTCCTTAATCCTCTGCATCTTCTCCTTGTACGCAGTCGTAACAAATGCTTCCTTATCCTGGTACATTCCTTGTTCTGCCTCCCTCTCTTTTTGTACAGTTCTCTCTACTCTTCTTTCATACTCTCTCTTTCTTTGCTCGGCAGCCTTCATCAGCTGGCCAATATATTTTGGCTGTTGGGTGATGGAAATTAATTAATTTATTATATATTTATTTTAATATAAATTAATTAATTTATATATTTAATTATATATTTATATTATTTATATGTACAAAATGAATAATGATAAAAAACTAAACAAAATTATTAATTCAAGTTTAAAAAAATTTAAACTTGAAAAAATATAAGCTAGAATAAATTAATACAAGTTATGATAAAGAAACCTTGACATCTTTCTTAACTTCCTCTTTCTGTTGGGTCTTCTTAGTGCACTCTTCGTCGTAAATTTTGTCATATTCGAAACAGTTCGGATCCTCGTGTAGCGCTTTTTCTATGTCCAACTGCGTCTGTTTTTTGATGTAATTGTTTAATCTAGATGATGGCTTTATCATGCTACAACCTTTAAGATTTAGAGGGTTTGATTTTCCAGCTATCTGAAATAAATTTATAAAAAATTAAGGTTTATAATAACATTAAAAAAATAATTACAGTAAAATCATAAAAACGTTTATTCAACATTATCTTATTTTATAAGTTGTGTTTGTATATAATATATTCTTGTATGTTTGTAACTATCAGTCTGTGTAGGTTTTGTACACTTATGTATTTTTGTATATGTTTTTATGTTTGTGAGTGTGTATTAATGTTGGTAACTTGTGTAAGTGTCTGTATAATTGTGAAAATTTGTTTTAATTTAATTTAATAGTAAAATAATTTGGAATTACCTTCTCATCGTCGCTGTCATTGTCGTGAAAAGCAGATGATTTCATCAATTTAGGATTGGAATCCTTTTTGGGTATTATTAATCCATACCTGTGAAAATTTTAAACACAATTAAAAAATACAAATAATTTCTTTTTTTTCTAAGAAACAAAAATTAGGTGCTCATTCATACTTCTATCTCTGAATAACTCTTGAAATTTTAATAATGAATAAAATTTAAAAAAAACAACCAACTTTTTGGTAGGAGCATTAAAATTGAAAGCCATAATTTCGTTTGTAAAATAATAAGTTTGCTAAAAAAAACTATTATTGATATGACTTACAAGTAGATACGGTCTACAACGGTTGTGAAGTTGCAAGGATAAGGATCGTACTATTTGACTTGCTTGAATTGTTGGCTTATTGGCTTACTTACGAAATTGCATGGGTTTTAGATGCAAACTATATGAAATATTTACTTGACTTATTTAATTTTATCAAATAGAATTATGAGTTAATAAAATATTTTTGTAAATTTGAATATAAAAATTATTTTTTGTCCGGTGAATTCCGAAAATAGGTTGGCTTACTAGGATTGAGCTATAGTCACTCTTTTTTATTACCCTGTTCGATTTTGTTGAACTTTTGTTTGCTAATAAAATAAACGACGTAAATAGATCAAAATTGTTATTTAAACAATTATCTTCATTATATTCAATAAATACTTTACATTCTAGTGCTGTTATACTCTATAAACATGATCCATGGTCACTAGTTATTATCAAGTGTTTTTTTATGTTAGAGATTATCTATGGTAGATCAATTAAACAAAATGATTTATTTTTGAAGATAAAAAACAAATACTTATGTTGTATTTATTATTTATATATATATATATTGTTTTATTTGTATTAATATATTGATATTTTTATATAAACGAGTTAGAAAACAAATGTGTTAATAGAAGTTTTCTTGTAAAAGAAAAATGATATAGCAATTTGGAAGCCAATTTTGAATAAATATTGCAATAAATAAAATTTAATTATAGCAAGTTATACGCGGATACATATTGTTTGAAAATAATTTGTGCGTCATATCCATTATTTCCACGTGATTATATGTAATTATATGCAGCCGAACTCTAAGAGCTAGAAAACCTGAAAAGTGCGCTTTAAAATTAAAAAATTTTACCCGATCAGAAATCTTCTTTTAAATTTGTTTTTAAATGACGAACCTTTGTATACAATATTCGTTAACTTTTTCATTCTAAATTTCTTTTTCTGTCAATTTTCGTGTTTTATTTCTTTTTGTAAATAAATTTTTTTAGAAAACTGAAATCGATTTCAGACAAAAACTCTATTTTTTTATCATTTATTTAGAAAATAATCATACGCAGTCCATTGTGATTTTAAATTTTCCTAGGATTTTGTTTTTGTTCGTTTTATCTGGCGACATCAAACGAAACAACAGACAGACGAATTACTGTTTATTGTTCGATTCTTACACAAGCTAGTTAGGTCGATACTTTATTTACCACAACTCGTGTGTGAACATAACATGGGCAACGAAGAAGACTCGACAAAGCTCATTGGTCGCCACAAATCGGTCATAATTGGTGGAGGGATAGCCGGGGTGAAGGCCGGGGAAACGTTTGTCAGGAAAGGTTTCAACGATTTTGTCATTCTTGAAGCTTCAAACAAACTTGGCGGCCGAATCTCTTCCGTTGTTGTAGGTTTGTATGGTTTTTTTTAAATTATATGTATATATAAACAATAATTACTGGATATAGCATTAAATTAATAATATTGTAGTGTTGATACTGCAGTGTAGAGTATAGTACATTGTAGTACAGTATAGAGTATAAGTCATTTGTCATCATGATTATCTATTTAAGAATTAAACTAACTTGAATTGTACATACTTTGTTTATAAACATAACATAACATATGGAAATGAATGAATTAATTAATTAATCTATTAGTAGATGGATGAATGAAAGAATATATGAAAGTGTTAAACAGACAGAAATAAACATACAAAACACATACATACTCATGAATGTTCATAAGTATATAATATACAATATATTATATTGCCTTTAAAACACTTAGTGTTCAAGAGCATAAATTTAAGTACAATTACATAGTAGTAGTAGTAAAAATGAAAACATACATACAAGAACATACATACTTACAAATACACACATGCAGATACACACACACACACATATAAACATATAAATACACATACAAATTCACATACAAACAAACACACACACACATACAAACATAAATGACATGTAGTTAGTTAAGACCTACAATATTTCTTCAAGGTCCTTCTACTACTTTTGAGTTTTTCTACCAATGAATTTAACAAAAGAGTAATATGCAGTCTTTTCTCTCTCTCTCTCTCTCTCTCTCTCTCTCTCTCTCTCTCTCTCTCTCTCTTTCTCTCTCTCTCTCATTTCCTTCACAGAATTTTTTAATAAATGTAATATGCACTTGTGATATTGTTCTTTTATAATATCTACTCTCATCCATACCAATAAATCTTTGAATGTAGAAACATTTTCTTCCCTGATTTCTATGCATAAAAAATTTATATAAAATGAAAGGTTTCTTTCTCTAAATGTGTAGAACATGTTTTTTTTTGGTATATTTCTCTTTGGCTTTGCTTCTTTTTTTATGTATTTTTTCATTCTTTCTCTCATTCTCACTTTTCACTTTGTTCCTCTCTTTCTTTCTTATCTGTTTATCTTCTCTCTCTCTCTCTCTCTCTCTCTCTCTCTCTCTCTCTCTCTCTCTCTCTCTTCCTCTGCCATTTTTTCATAAATGCAATTTTGTTGTTGTTTTGCTATTTTATTTCACAATTTAACATTTTTATTCCTTCTTTGCTAATTATGTTTGTTTTATGTTTTTGATTTTCTAAAATAATATATTTGTCATCCATTCATTCATTCATCCATTTATTTATTTTTTTGTTCAATCACGTTTTTCTACTATTTGTGTGTGTGTGTGTTTATGTGTGCGTGTTTATGTGCGTGTGTGTGTGTGCGTGTGTGTATGTGTGTGTGTAAGTTTATGTGACAATATATATATATTCAAAATTATTTAAATTAATTTGATAGCCTGGATCAAAGGTGCACATTAATTAATTGCCAGAATTCTTCTGTGAAAATGTTTTTATACTATTACACTTGAAATATTTCTTGTGAAGGAATTTCATTGTTTCATTCATTCAATAATTTGGCCCATCCCTTCATTCATTCCTTCATTTATTCATTCATTCATTCATGATTAAGTGAATGAATGAATAAATAGATGTATGAACTAAAGAATGGAGGAACAAATGAATGAATAAACCAATTATTAATAACTAAATAAATAAACATATTGTATATGTTTAATACACTTCAACCTTAAAACCTGATTCAATGTACACACATAAACATTATAATATTATTAATGCTACACATATGACATTGAAGGCAGGCTGTTATAAATATATATATATATATATATATATATATATATATATATATATATATATATATATATATATATATAAATATGTGTGTGTGCGCGTGTGTGTGCGTGCGTGTGTGTGTTTGGGCGTATGGTATTGCTTTGAAAAAATTCTCTGACTAATTGAACAGAGGACAGAGGCAAAAAATGTATATGATAGATTTGTGTTGAAAAATTTTCTTATTTACTTAAAAGTTTTTTTTTCAAGAGTGAATTTAAATAAAATCATTCAAGATAGAACATGATTTTTACAGAAAAAAAACTATCTAAAGTATAGATTTGGAACAATCAACTATTATTAATTTGCATCAGTTTAAGCTGGTGTAAATCAGTATTGTATCTGTATTATTAGTTCAGTGTTCAATTCTATTCATTACAATGCTAGTTTGTGCCCTTTCAATAATTAATTCATCAGTTTATTCATTCAATATGGTCTCATCTATTTTAAAAAAAAAAAACATGATTTGCCTGTATAATATACTGTACATACTGATAGCTGATTATATATTACTTATTTGATTTCAGAGTTTTTTAGTTGCGTTGTTTTTAGTTAGTTAGAAGTATGTTTGGTTTTGTGATTTGTTAAATCTCATTCTTTCTCAAACTGTTGAGATTTTCTTTATAACTTTTCAAGTTGAATTATAATTTCATAACGAATTGTTGCATGTAAGCAATGCATGAGTCACATATCTTAATTGGTTTTTTCCCACAGAGCCATCAAAAGTGATTGTTGAGTTTGGAGCCAACTGGATCCATGGTGTGGACGCAAACCCGATCTTTAAAATCGCCAAGGAGAACAACCTCCTCACCTCTCACTACACCGGCAGAGGTCTGGGCAAGAAAATTCTCTTCGCAAAAGAAAACGGCGACCCTGTACATCCGAGAATTGTCAGCGACGTCGATTTTCTGTTCGGTCAGTTGATGTCCGAGTGCGAAGATTTCTACCGCGACCAGACGCCGACCCCGTACGAAGATGACAGTGTCGGGGCCTACATTGAAAGGGAGTTTGAGGAGAGGATTTCTGGCTACCACGTTGGTTGACTACGTGTTTGTAACTCTGTAACGCCTTTTCACTAAATAAATTCTTCTAATTGTAGATTTATATATTTTAAAAATTGAGATTAAAAACGTTGATTTATTCAAGGGTGAAGATAGACAGTTACGCAAAAATGTTCTGGCCCAGAGATTGATTGGCGAGTGCACGATTACAGGCGCTGATTCCATGCGAGAGGTGGCATTAAGCGAAGCCGGCTGTTTCGAAGACATTCCCGGTGTCCACTTCGTAATCCCGTCCGGGTTCGAAATGATCATCAAGATCCTGGCCAAGGATATCCCGAAACCGAACATACATCTCAATAAATTAGTGACGCAGATTTCGTGGGATAGATCCGACGCTACTTATCCCGTCATGGTGCAATGTTTGGACGGTAGCAAGTACATGTGTGAGACCTGCCTGGTCACCGTACCTCTAGGCTATTTAAAAAAACATGCACCCAGGCTCTTCAATCCCCAACTACCTTCCAACAAATTGGGAGCAATTGAGGGTATCGGCATGGGAGTTGTTAGTTTCTTCATTTTTTTTATTTCTTCACTTTTTTTTACGTGCTAGTTTATGCATTATTTTATAGTTTAGTTGCTGTGTAAAGTTGGATTTTGTTGCTTTTACAAGTTATCGTTTTCACGGTTTGTATACACAACATGGATAAGTTCATTAACGATGTTTATTTAAGCTGTACAAACCAAGCATGTTAGTATTTGAGTATTTATAAAGCGCTTTTTAAGATAAACTTCTCAAAAGCGTATGCACAACTAAAACATGTACACAATCCATAAAAATTCCCAAGGTGAACAAACTGATACTGGTGTACGACGGGCCGGTATTTCCCAATGATATTTTTAGACTGGAAATGATCTGGAATAGAGAGGAACTGGCTGGTGAAGATGAGCCAGAGTACCTCTCTCCTAATCGAGATCTCTCCAAAACCTGGTACAAAAAGATACCATTTGTTGAGGCCATAGATCAGAATATCTTAGTTTGTTAGTATCTTACTGTATTTCCTTGAAACAGAAAGATGTTGACTGCAATAATGTTATTAATAATAATGTGACAGTCTTAATTGCATTGTACTTTCCAGTTCTTATCTAATGAATGTAATTAAGTAGGTTAAGTACAAATGTATGTTAATGTTTGTTTGTTTGTGTGTTTGTGTGGGTGCGTGTGTGAATGTATGTGTGTGTGTATTTTATTTCAGAGTGGATACTTGGAAATAATTATATTATCTCTGTTAAATAAATAAATACCTTTCTTCAATCTCTGATGTTTTTAATAATTGATTTTTTCTTTACTCTGATGTTGTCATTATTTTTATTTTTCTTCTTATTATTTTTATTTAATTATTATTATTATATATTTATTAGTTGCATCAATCAACACAACCCACACACTTTTTGCATTAAAATTGTTCATGGAAATTTCCGTAAATTATAAATAGCATGAACGGAATAATTTTCTTATATATATATCTCTCTCTCCCTCATTTTGATAGGCTGGATATCAGGAAAGGAGGCGGAGTATCTGGAGACTCTAACCAATGAAGAAGTTGCAAATAAATTATCATCTGTCATTCAAGGTTTCCTTAGTAACATCGTTAAGAAGATGCCTAAGCTTGTTCAATGCATTAAGTTTGTTGTTTTTAATTTAATCTCTTTCTTTTCTCTCTCTCTTTTCTTCTTTTCTATTTTCCACTTTTCTTCTCTCTTCTTTTCTCTTTTCTAAATTTTTAAAATAATTTTCTTGTTTGTTGCCATATATATTATGAACAGCTATTTTAAAGCATTTAAAATAATTGAGTTCAAGCATTTAAAATACTTGACTAAATATTACATGTCCCTCCTAACTAATTAAGATCGAGTTGGAAGGCCAATCCACTGATATTAGGAGCTTATTGTCACATCCCTGTCGGCACTTCGGCAGAATCCATTCTGACACTAGCCGAACCTGTATACAACTCACGACATAAAGTTTGTATTTGTTGCTTAGTCAGTTGTTGGTTGTCCGTTGGTTGGTTGGTTGATTTGGTTGGTCAGTTGGTTAGTTGATTGCTTGGTTGGTCAGTTGGTTGATCAGTTGATTTGCTAGCTGGTCAGTCAATTTTGCTTGTTAAAATTTATATGAATAGAATAATGCTGAAAAAAATATAATCGTTATTTAAATAATTTTCATAGCCTGTTTTATTCTTTGCTGGGGAGGCAACCCACCCAACATTTTATTCAAGTTCTCACGGGGCCATGATGACAGGGGAGAAAGAGGCTGACAGAATTCTCACGCACATCAATGACTTCACCCCTAATCGCTAAAATGTCTAAAAAAAATGGATGCATTGTTTTTTTGCTTCTGTGTTTTTCTTCGTATTTATCCTTGTTGTTCTGGGTGTGTGTTTCTATTTTATTTTTCTGTTTATATCTCTTTCTCTCTTTCTGTTTATCTCTCTCTCTCTCTCTCTTTCTCTCTCTCTCTCTCTCTCTCTTTCTGTTTTTCTGTTCCTCTATCATAGCTAATCTGTTAATGAAAATATTATTTTCAGTTTTCTACCTCTCTGCTTCTTTGTTTTCCTCCCTCATTCTCTTTGAGAAATTTTTTTTCTAAAGTTATATTATTATATTGTTTATATTTCTTCATTTAACCATAGTGACTGTGTACGAAAGTGAAACAGACAAGTCTCGTCGTCTTAATTCTTTCTCTTTTGTTCAATTTTATTTTTCATTTGTCAAATGATTAATTAATTTAATTCATTTATTGAATAAATTAACCAACTTCTTGATTTGGACTATGTTTAAATTTTGTGTAGAAATAGTTCATATTATTATTAGTTGTATTAGCCCTGTTAACACTATTGTCACGTTATTTTTCTCCTCCCAATTCATTTTGTCTTTCTCATTCTCGTTCATCTGCACTGCACTTAGGAATAGTCGTTATCACCACCATCCTAATTGTAACTAGTACATAGGTCTTCACTCATTTGACTATGTAATCATATATATATATATGAATATATATATTTATATATACATATGTATACAGTATTGTATGAATTTCTCCGAATTGTTAGCATTAATCAGTTTAAACTTTAAATTGATTAATGCCAAGAGTTTGGTCGAATTCATACAATACTGTATAAAATATGTTCTCCTTGCAACACACATATATATATATTATATATATATATTTATATATATTATATATATATATAGAGAGAGAGAGAGCGAGAGAGAAAGAAAGAGAGAGGTAAACATTGTTTTAGACATTTCACATTTCATTTATTTATTCATTTAATATAAATATTAATGTGAAGAAAAAAGCTATTGCACGAGTATGTATTTACACGCGTCACATCATGAAACAACAAAAAAAACTACTGTTATTATTATTATCATTATTATCGCTGCTATTGTTGTCATTATAATTGTTTTTATTAAAATTTGAGAAGAATGTTTTTCCTGTAAAAATTTTTAGCGTGTACCTGTTTCTAGGAATTTCGCCGTTTTGTTACATGTTCAATTTGTTGATTGATTCTTGATTATTTATCACTGAGAAACAAGCATTTCATTAATTAATTGTCTTTTTTTTATTGTTTTGTTCTGTTTAAAATCTTATTGATAATATAGAATTTGTTATGTATATATATATATAGTATTGTATGAATTCTACCGAATTGTTGGCATTAATCAATTTAAAGTTTGTCTTTTCAATTTTAGAATTCTAGTAAGGAAAATTGAAGACAAACTTTAAATTGATTGACGCCAACAATTTGGTAGAATTCATACAATACTGTATATAATACGGTCTCCTTCCAACATATATATATACATACATAGATACAATTTACTAACAAGTTTTTATTCGTTACCACCAACTTTTTATTAATCTCAACAAAATTCTTAATAATTTTTTAAATATTATTAAATAATTATATTGTAATAATAATGTATTTGTAATAAAGTTTGAGAAACCTTTAATTGATTCCTGCAGTTCTCCTGATTTCTCATTAGAAATAAAATTTAAAAAATCTCCCAAGGTCAAAATGGACAACATACTGACGATTATATATGTATGTATGTTATTATTACTATTTATTATTCTTATTAACTGTGTTGTTTATTTTTGAGTTTTTGAAAACAAGTAACAGACAGATGCATCTGAAATGAAATTTTTATTACAAACGTGCCGGAAATATATATTAAAATTTACCTAAATATTCATATAAATCAATAATAATAATAATATGGCAATAATAACGTGAATAATAAAAAAATAAATAATAATTAGCCACAATAAAACAATTATAAGACAGTTATATCGATTACTGTCAATTGCTTCACACACTTATATTTTGTACGTTACACATAAAAATTGTTTTAAGATTCAATTAATTAATTAGTAACTACTAGTAAATTTAAAGTTATTTGTTGCCATAAAAATAAAACAATATATCAAAATGTAATTAGGAAAAATATCTAATCTAACTGATCAAAGTAGTTATATAAAAATTATTCTATTATCTTCTTTCTCGTGCTTTACCCTCTCAGGACATTGGCGACCATCGACCTCCACAAAACCCGATCTTTAACATTTTGTAGTAGTTGAAATGTGGTGATATTCAACAAGTGACAAACTTGTAGTTGTCTCACTTGAAGTCCTTGTGTTCACTTGTTGAATTCTATTATACCAACAACATATTTTAATAAAAATTTACCCTTAATACAAAGGGACAGCCAGAGTGGAGGGTTTTAATCTGACCAGCCTACTGCAACAATCGGTGCTTTTTGATCAAGAATAAGAAATAATTTTACAAAATCAATAATTTTCAAAATCCGGTGTTAAACTATTTTAGTTTTTCTACATAAAAACGGTGAATTTTTTCAAACTTTAGTAAAAAAAACTTTCGAAAATGAAAATAGTATGAAAAAATGTTGAAGGAATGGTCGCCAATTTGTTTTCCTAGAAACCCCTACCCCCAAGCCATTCGAAAAGTAGAATTTGTCAACCTTGAACAAAAGATAATGCTGTTTTCAATAAGAAAAATCAATATAAAAACGTGGAATACGGTAAACTTTTTATAAAAAAAGTGACTGTAAATGTTTTTTTAAAATAACTCAAGCCCACGCAACAGAAAAATTCTAGCCAAGCTACTGAATATGCGCTAATTAAATTTTATTCTATTATGATTTTAATATTAGATGAGAAAATTATTTTTTCATCTGAAAAATTATCTAAAAATAAAAAATTCATTTGATCCCAAACTATAAACGCACGCAATATACACACACACATATCCACACACACTATGACCAAAGTCTGTAGAAGCCAAGACATATTGTTAAGCAAGTCATTACAGCACCTGGATAAATGAATAAATAAATGGATGAAAGAATAAATAAATGAATTAAACAAAGAAATGGATAAACGAAATAAAAAGTTGTTAAAATGCCATTATCCATTTATCCAACCAATTTATGCTAATTGAAATGACTACAATTGAAAAAAAAATTCACATATTATAAAGACAAAATTCATTAAAATTATAAATTTCGTTTTCCAATCCCTGATACCTGCAGCGTATTTGATGACGTCATTTCTGTAGCGTTCGTAGGTGGCCAGTAGGTTGGCGATCTCCTTCTCAATCTTGTTGTCCATGCCAGAGATGTGCTTGTCGTGCTCCGACGACATTATCCCTATCCTGTTTTCCAGTTTCGTCAAGGCCTTTTCACTTTCTGCGTGCTGCAAAGTCGGGTCGGATCATTGGGATTTGGAGGTAAGATGGGATGGGAGTCATTTTGGAAGAATAAGGAATTAGAGTTAAGGAGATTTTAGGATTTGGACGTAGGGTGTGAGATTTTTTTTTGGAAAAATGCAGATTAAATGTAAGAATTAGTGTGGTGGTGTTATGATTTAGTAGTAAAGTGGAAAATCATTTGATAAAAAGAAAAAATGTATGAAAATATAAAAATTAATGAAGATTTTGTCCTCACAGCATCTTTAGCCCGGGATTTCTCGAGGTTCATATCGAGGGCAACCCCAGATTTCAAATTGTTGATCTCATCTTTGAAATGTCTCTTCATCTGCTCTATCTCTATATTTTGTTTCTTTTGGATACAGGGAGAAAAGTTACATTTCTATATATGTATTTATTTAATTGTATCACAAAGAATTATAAAATCTTATTAAAAATAAAAAATTATTCACATAATTACGATTAAAATTATGAACAAGTAAACCTCATATTCGTGTTTCAAATTCGAGAATTCACTTTTCTCCAAAATGATCATGTCCTTTTTAATTGAACTTATGTGCGAGAGTATTTGCTGCAGGAGAATTTCCTTGAGAAAAAAAATGATTTCAAAATAAATAATGAATAAATAAATGTATGAATAGGTAGGAAAGATAGGTAGTGTACAAAGGTAGCTATGTAGGTAGGTAGCTAGGTAGGTATGTAGATAGATAGGTGGGCAGGTAGGTAGGTAGCTAGGTAAATGGTAGGTAGCAAGGTAATTCTTTTATCACCCACTTGCTGTTCTTTGGTTATTAAATTTTTATTAACAAAATCCATGTGTCCTTGTGTTATCTGCACTAGAGAATACGCCAATGTCTCTGCCTGATTTGGGGCTATGCCTAAAAAGAGATAAGTTATCATATATAATAACAGTAGCATTTATTTTAACTTTCAAATGTTTTTCAAAAAACTAAATTTTAAAAGTATGACTATTTTGGAAAAAAGTTTTAATTATGAAAAACAACAAGATTTTTAAATAATTTCTTCCTTAAAACAAAAAATATATAAATTGGAATGTTAAAAACTTAAAAATTGCCAACTTTACTGACCACTATCCTGAAGACTTTTTATTAGAAGATGAGTATCAAACATATAGACCTGCTTCGCTCCTGTCAGGTCGACTTTTCGAGATTCAAGGCATTTTCTAACTTGAATTTCTATTTTTTAAAAAAACTTCAAATGAAATATGTGTTTAATTAAAATAAAATTTTATTTTATTATTTACTATCTTTGGTGTTTTTAAATTTTCACACATCTGATTTTAAAACAATAAATATAAATGTTATAAGTTAAATAAAGATTTTTTAAACTAAATAAATAATTATGAATGGTTTTGTATTTGATTGATATTTTAATATTCATATTGTATTGGGAACATTTATTTTTTAGTAAAAAATTTTTACTACTATTCTAATTTCTAAAACTAAAATATAAAATTCACTGGATGATAAAATAATAAAAACACACTTAATCTTCTAAAAAAATGTAACGAAAAACTTCAAATTAAGAAAAATTGTAACAAAATTATCTTATTTACTGTTGCATTTAGAATGGTTGAATACCTCGATGAAGTAACTTTTCGGGAATTTTTTGACCAGGCTGCCGGCTAAAAATGAGGACGATCTCTGCAACGCTATCATCTTATTTCAATTTTTGAAGCTATTTTTTGGCAAATATGACGTAATTATACGCAACTATACAAATAATTGATTAAAATATTTAAAATTTTTTTAAAAAATATAAATAATCGAGATAAAAACGCAATAAAACTACGAAAAATGAGCAGAAATAAAAGAAATATGATCTTATGTTATCTAGCATAGACATTTTAACGTGTAATTTTTTATATATTTATTAATAAAATTCAATAAATATAGTTAAAATGCAATTAAAATACAATTAAATTACAGTTAAATATATAATTGAGATTTTTTTGTATAATAGTATGCTTCAAAATGATTTTATTAATAAAATTCGTTAATCATTTTTACACGCTATATTATTGTATATTTCTATATTATAGATGAATTCAACTTTTTAAATGATTTGAAAAGTTTTAAGTTCACGAAAAATTGATTTTGTTTGACAACATTCATAAACTTTATAAAAATTTTGAATGGCATCTTTTAAACAACATGATAATACGAGCATCAAAACATGATCTCATCAAAACACTTCTTTCTTTCTGCAAAGAAAAAATGATGAAAAAACGAAACTGAATACATTGCAGACATAAAAAATGAAAAAATGAGTTATTCGAAGATGTTTTTAGTATGCTAGACATAGTAAAAAGACGTACATTTCATAAGAATTAATTAACAAATCTGTTATAGACTTTTATAATAATAAATTAAATTATCAAACATAAAATACAACAAAAACACTTGTTTTCCAATTAAAAAGCAAAATTACTCTTAGAAAAAACACGAAACAAAAGTCAAAAGGCCTATCACTTTTGATCTATATTCGAGATACCTAACAAGGTAAATACGCATGGGATGAGATCTTTTTTGAAGAGCATAGGGGTGTGTCACTCAGTCAGCCAGCCAGCCAGCCAGTTCAGTTGTCAGTTCAAATCCATACAATTCAGGCATCTTTTAATTTAATTTCAAACAAACCGTTTTTTAAACGACACGTCCTTTCTTCACCTACAAACTTTATTCATAATTTTTTTCAAATGATCACCTTAACTTACTTATCCATTTTTACCTTACAATTAAACTAGCGCAAATATAAAATAACAAAAATACATTTTAATTACCCTAATGTTGCTCTCAATGGCTTCTATATATTGCCACGAGGCATGTGTTATAATTGTATTTATAACTACATAAGCGTACGTACATACATAAAAAGCTGCAGGCTATGCTTTTGTTTTATGTTGTATACGTGTGTATTTGTGTATGTGTATGTGTGTGTATTGTATATTTTGTGTATGCTATATATTACATATGCGTGTTATATGTAATGTGTTTATGTGTTTTGTTGTTTGTGACCCGACCTTATTAAGATTTGTTTGAATGCAACTCTGAATATACCTCGAAGTATCGTTGTTGTTCGCTTTTAGGTTCAATTGCTATCCGTATGATTTAATTTGTTTATTATTTATTAAATTAGTCGCGCTTTCCATTTAATTTAATTAATTTAAATTAATAATAAATCAATTTAAAGGCTTTTGAAATAATAATGCGTTCTGCCAACACGTTTGCTATTTTGAAACAAATTGGGAAAAAATGTGCTAACGAGAAAGCAGGCTACGCTGGATTGTGCCTTCCTTCGCATTCTTACCGCGTCAACTTATTTGAGAATAATAATGGTTTAAGGGCTTTGACATTCATTGAAAATTGCAATTTAGCCAACCGTGCGAGATTATTTCACACGACATCGTCAAATCTGGGTTAGTATTTTAAAAATAAATAAGTTTAATCGGGTTTTGCTCTAACTCTACTACTAAAGGATATGCGAGTTGACACTGTTGTACTGTAGTTGTGCTTGGCGGTTTCTATCGTATGATACGATCAGTTGATAACTGTCAAAACATGCTACACTTTGGCTTATTATATATATTGGGTAACTAATTCACAATTTTTCAATTAAAAGTGTTCAAGAGTAGACATCCCGATGTTCAAATCCCAAACATGTCTATACCGGAATTTGTCCTCGACAGCAAATTCACCACTAAGCCAGCTCTGGTTTGTGAGACCCTCTATTTTATTCCAATATATTTCAAATATTATTGTAAAGTATTGCGAAATATGTTTCGAAATCAATTATTCAGTTATTTTTGTGCTTTGTGCGTGACGTTGGGTGTGTGATGTTCGTTTTATTGCAAGAAGTCCTTCATCTAAGTGCTGAACTAATGTCATCTTGTATATGCGATTTACTCAGGTATTTTTAATACGTTATAATAATACTAATTGATTCATAAGGTGAGTATACTGTAAATACCTCCGATAGTATAATATAATTGTATGGTAGGCTTTATATAGCGCGTACAGCTATCATACAGAATGCAATACGAACTGACATGGTTAAGTTAATATGTAGGTCGTCATTTTTATTCCGTCCCAGATTTTAAACCTGCGTAAAAATAACGCATCTTTCGGTTTTTTCACTTTGTGCTACCTTGTAAATGTCGTTTAGAGTTCAAATTTTTTAAATTTAAAATATTTTCGTTTTGTTTTATGCTAATTGTGCTAAGATTTATGCATTTCTGCCGAAAATTTCGACTAACTTTCACCGCTTGAGAATTTATCTGTTTTAGTTTAGATGCACTTTTAAATAAGTAAATTTTGGCGTTTTCACTTTTCAAAAGTAAATAAAGTCATTACAATCCGAATAAATTTTTGATTAATTTTACAATTTTGCTTAAGAAGTTTTTTCGAATTTTGTTTGGAATAATTTTTTTTAATGTGTGCAATGTATTTTAAAAAAATGAATAGTTGTCAAATTGAAATAATTGAATTAAACATATTCTATCATGTTATTTATTAATTTTTTCCTTTTTCTATTGTATTTTTTCAGATAGATGGCGTTACCGGACGTACATTGAATTTCAACCAAGTCAAAGATTCAGTATGGCGCCTGGCAAGTGGGTTTTCCCGTCTGGGATTCAAAAAAGGGGATGTGCTGATGATCATCAGTGAAAATAGCATAGAATTTATGTTGGTGTTCCATGCAATCATGTGGATCGGCGGAACTGTTACCACCTGTAATCCTCACTATCTCGTTCGTTAGTAATTCTTCATACTAATTAAATTAACTATTTGTATATATAGTTATGGTCTTCGATTATGGTCTATGGTTAAGGTGTCTGGTCCTGCTGCTGTTGTAGTGACCAGGATCAAATGCGAGGAGAGGATTTGTGGCTTCAATTATTTTATTATTATATTATATATTTATTATTATTATTGATTATTATAATTTACTATTATTATTAATTTTATTATATTCTTTTTTAAATGACATTTGTGTTTTTGAAATATTGTAATCTGATTGACAAGTGTTTTGGTTAGTCAGCTGATAAAATTTTTTTTAAGAGTTTTTTAGAAGTTTATTAGATAACAATAACAATCTTCCAAGCGCTGACATAGTACTACTACCACTACTACTGCTACTACTACTACTACTGCTACTACTACTACTATTACTACTACTACTACTACCAATACTTGTACTACATAGTCATAACAAAAATAGTTGTAATAGTAAAAAAATCTAAATAATATATATTTTCCCTTCGAAGCTGACATATCAAAGCAGGCTGTTGATGCGGATGTTAGTTACATCTTTTGCTCGCATCTCTACAGCGGCAAGGCCCACGAAGTATCCGAACACATGCATACAATTAAGGTTAATAAAAACATAGATAATTAAAAATAAAAAAATAAATATATACAAATAAATAAATAGATAATAAACGGTAATAATTTCTTGTTTTTACGACTTTTAAATGTATAAATAACAAAAATAAATAATAAATTAACTAGCGATTAAATAAAACCCCAAAACAGAAAGTAATAACAGTTGGTCAGGTGGACGGCTTGATTCCACTTACGATCCTCCTCGAAGATGATGGCTCTGAATTCCCCAAAAACGTCGACATCGATTACAAGACCCACACCGCCCTCTTGCCCTACTCTAGTGGCACCACGGGCATGCCAAAGGGGGTAATGTTGACCCACTATAACGAGGTGGCCAATGCTGTCCAATCAGAGTTAGTTGGGTTTTTTTTGGGTCTTGCTGTTTTGGAAGTTTTTTATTGTGCATTGTTTGGTTTTAAATGTTTCTTTCTTGCTTTTTCTTGATTTTATCTGTAGGCGTTTATTCATTCGTTCATTCATTCATGCATTCATGCATTCGTTCATTTTTTCTTTCATTCATTGATTCATTTTAACAATTCATTCATTTGTGCTGAGCTAATGATAAACATTCTAAAAAAGCCGCAAATTTCAGTATTTCAAACTTCAGTATATCATTCATCCATTCACTTACTCATTCATCCATCCATTCTTTATAAATTCATCCATCCATCCATTCGTTCTTTCTTTCATTCATGCTATTGTTTACTTCATTTATTTATTCATGGTTCACTTATCCATTTGTTTTATTAATTTATTGATTCATTTTCACCACCACCACAAACAAACACACAGAAAATTAAAAAATATGTTCTTTGTTTCAGTATTCCAAACTTTTTGTTGAATCGAGACGTGGAGAAGCACCTGGGCCTGTTGCCCTTCTACCACATATTTGGCATCATCGTCCACTGCATCTGCTCCATGAAGGATGGCCAGACGACAGTCATCATTCCCGCCTTCGATCCCAAGATATTTCTTGACTGCATACAGAGATATAAAGTCCGTCGTGTCGCCTTGTATTTTTGTTTTTATGATTTTTGTGGCTAATTTTGGGGTGTGTGCGTGTGCGCGTGCGTGCGTGTGTGTGTGTGTGTAAATGTATGTGAGTGTGAGTGCATGTATGTGTGTGTGTGTTGTGTGTGTATGTGTGTTTAAAAGGGAGATGGCGTGGGTGGTGCGCTTATGTGTGTGCGTACGGTTTCATGTGTATGTGTGTGGTTTTAAAGTGTTTTTGTCAATTATTCCTAATTTTTATGACGAGTATTATTTTCGTTTATTTTCGATTGTAACCTTTTTGTCAAATTTATGACAGACTGTTAATCTTATTTAGGAAGATAACTTGTCATTTTTACGGCCTTTTCAGTCGATTGATTTAGTTTATTTCGATTTGTTTGTGTGTGTGTGTGTTTGTTTGTGTGTTTGTTTGTTTGTGTGTGTGTGTTTGTATGAGTGTGTATTTGTTTGTGTGTTTTTGTATGTATGTGTGTGTGTGTACGCGCGCGATTGTGTGCTCATATAAACTTATTCTGAGTGTAAATGAAAGTAGAATAAAAAATCAAACACACCATGGTGTAATTAATGGTTAAAGTTCACAGCTATGTCGTTGTTGTTGTTGTCGTTGCGTATTCACATGCACTGTGTATTTGTTGTTGACACCTCGAAAAAATGCGTAAAGAGATCCTAAAATACTTCTCTCAGATCGGTATGACCCATATAGTCCCTCCGATTGTGATGTTCCTAAACAAGCACCCCATGGTCAAGAGGTTTGACATGTCCTCCCTCAAACGTCTGGTGTGTGCCGCTGCCCCTCTCGGCGCCGAATCTGTTCACGAGTTTCACGAGAAATATCCCAACTGTGTTCTTGGGCAAGGTTTATTTTTTTAGCTAACTGCCGGGATGTGTGTTTGTGTTGGTGTGCGTGCGTGTGTGTTTGTGTTGGTGTGCGTGCGTGTGTGTTTGTGTTGGTGTGCGTGCGTGCGTGTTTGTGTGTGTATATTTTGCATTTTTTAAAGAATTAGTAGAATTTTTTTGGATTTTGAAGGGTACGGTATGACCGAGACGAGTCCCGTGGTCACCATGAACCAGATCCCAACGTGCAAAACGAAGCCGGCGTCATCAGGGACCGCCGTGCCCAACACGTTCCTCAAGGTGGTGGACATATACAATAATGAGTTGGGACCGGGAGAGAAGGGGGAGCTCTGCATCAAAGGGCCTCAGTTGATGAAGGGCTACCACAAAAACCCCGAAGCCACAGCCAACATGATTGACAGTGAGGGCTGGCTGCATACAGGTTGGCTTTGGCTTTTTACGTGTTCATTTTCAAACATTAAAATATGGAGTACCGACGTTAAGAATTCTGACCGGTGATTTTTGGTCATGTGATCATATTATTTTAATCACGTGATGATTTAACTTTTTTTTCTTTCTCGGGTGTTTGTAGGTGACATATGCACGATAGATGAGGATGGTCATCTGTTTGTGGTGGACCGGGTCAAGGAGCTGATCAAGTACAAAGGCTTACAGGTTTACAATTTTTGTGGCTATTTTATTTTCTGCTATCGGTCGCCCCATCATCATCATCGTCCATCCATCCACTAATTTCAAGGTCCCACCGGCCGAATTGGAAGCCTTGTTGTGTTCACACAAAGCGGTGGGTGACGCTGCGGTGGTGGGGGTGCCTGATCACGAGGCTGGGGAACTGCCGAAAGCCTTCGTGGCCTTGAAACCCGGGGCCAAGGTCACTGCCGAGGAAATTCATAAATTCGTTGACGGTGGGCAGTTGTTATTAATTATCTTCAAATATGTACTTTGTTTGTTTGGCTAATCATTTGTTCATTCCATCATTCATTCATCCTATTATTCATTCATTCATTCCATCATTCATTCATGCATTCATTCATTCATGCATTCATTCATTCCATCATTCATTCATGCATTCATTCATTCATCCATTCATTCATTCCATCATTCATTCATGCATTCATCCATTCATTCATTCATGCATTCATTCATTCCATCATTCATTCATTCATTCATCCATTCATGCATTTATTCATTCCGTCATTCATTTATCTATTAATAACACGGCAGAGAGGGTGGTGCAGTACAAGAGGTTGCGGGGTGGAGTTGTCTTCCTGCCCCAAATTCCAAGGTCACCAGCTGGGAAGATACTCAGAAGGGAGCTGAAGAACTTGTGATGACGTTGATGGTGAAGGTGACCTTTTGGTGATGATGATGATCACGACTTTGTGGTGGTGATGATGATGATGTGATGATTTGATTGTGATGATGATGATGACGATGTATTGTGATAGTGTGGTAATAGTGATGATGATAATGGTGATGATGATGATGATGATGTAGTGATGATGATGACGATGATGAGGATGACGATGAGGATGATGATGTTTGCCATGTTTCTTCTGATACAAATGATGCCTTAACAAAAAAAAAACTAAAAAATTTTTTTCATTCTCAAATTTTGAGACGACTCAGAAATTTATTTTTTTTTTTGTTGTTTAATTTATCAGGTGTCTTCTTACATCATTTTATTCTATTTTTTCCAAAATTAAATAAATACTTAGTTTATTATAACTAGATCGATAATGCCATTTATTATTTTAATTTGATTTATTTTAAATTAATTTAAATATGGCTGTAAAGTTATTTATGTATGAATTTTCAACTTTATTTTGAAATGAAATGTAAATCCATCCGATAAACTTGCTAAACAAATTATTATTATCGTTATTTTTGTTGTCGTTGTTGTTGTTATTTTTGTTGTTGTTTGGGTTTGTTATTGTTGTTGTTTGTTGTTGTTTTCCTTAAGTGAAACATTTGCCATTGAATACTTGTTCGAATTAATGGCATAATTAAGCAAATAATTATTTTTATTGTCTATAAACATATATTTTTTTTATCATTCACCAAATCTATCTACTTGTAGTTATGAATGAATTTGTTTGCTCGTCGACAAATTCGGCTTTTGAAAAAAAATCTGTTTTTGAATGGTTTTTTGTTTAAAGTTTATTTTTGTTTTCATAATAAATTTGAATTAATTAATATTAAATAAATGGGAATCTATTACACATCGTGCTATTTTCGTCCGGCAGAAACTTCCGGCTAGTTTTCTTCACAAATTTTGGTTTCACTTTCGCTTTTGCGTCAGTCACATGAAAATGAGAAGACGACAATCGTCGGCTAGAGCAATTAGGTCTAATCACATATATATTTATATATAGAATATAACACATTCTAGAATGTTATGTTCTATATATAATGGATCTAAATGATGGGCTACTATTTAGTATTCAATAGGTACTCCTTCAGACTAGTAGCTAGAGGTTGCTAATTTGGCTAGGGATTGTTAGTTTAGCTAGAGATTGTTAGTTTTTTCTCCATATTTTCGAATTTCAATATTGCATTTTGTATAGTTTAATTTCGTTTTCTGGCGGTTAGGCTTTAAAAAAGCTAGGTGATGAGTTTTTAGACTTGTTGGAATATAGACGAAAATGTTTGAAGTCTTACATGTTTGAAGTCGAAATAAAGATTTATTTTCATAATCAATAAATTGAATAGTTGTATATTTTTTGTTGGTTTCCAAGAGGTTTTTGCATCAGGATATTGAAATAAAAGTCCTAATTTTCGATACATTTATTCCAATATTGAGTGCAGGCGGGCAACCTTGATGGTGGAATTTGTTTGGCGAGTGCTATCTTTTTCTTGACGAACAAGTAAATTTACAATTTTTTACGTTTATCTGTTTACATTGTACACGCACGTACACACACACATACACACGCACACACAAAATAAACAGTCCTCCACCATTAAATATGACCGCTTCAGGCAAATTCACCCACGCATTAATAGTACTATACAGGAATATATACAAAAATACAGACATACATACACGTAAATACAAATATGCATACATACATACATACGTATATACATACATACATACATACATACATACATACATACATACATACATACATACATACATACATACATACATACATACATACATACATACATACATACATACATACATACATACATACATACATACATACATACATGCATAAATACATACAAACACGTACATATAAACGTACATACATACACAAATACACGTACATACATACACACATACACAAATATACATTTATACACAAACAACAAGGTACACAAATGTCTTTTACAAGCACTCTTCCGTGCTTCCTCTACGAAAATTCATGCATTCGGAAGTCGGAAGAGGATGTCATTTGCTATGATGACCAATCATCGCCCACGTATCGTCGTCAAAAATAGATGTATGTACGGACGTGTATGTGTATCTGTGGATATGTTCATACTCTATATGTATGTACATATGTATTTGTGTGTATCTAGGTACTACTGCATGTATTTATGCCTGTGTGTGTGGGTGTATGTATGTGCGAGCCCGTGGTTAAAAACAATCGCCATAAAAACCATCATTTCGCCCCTGCCCAACAGTTCATATTAATATCTGGGGTCTGGCACAGAAGGGCACTTAGCAGTATTCTCTGAAATACAGAATGAATTATACTCTTGCAACAACAACGATCTATTTTGATTTGTATAGATTTTACCACTTGGATCTCCGGATTTAATGACTATTTTAGCACCTTCGTTATCAAAAAATAATTGCGTCTGTTTATCAACTGGGCCGAATGCCTCCAGACAGATCGGGACAAAACTTTCATGCTTCGTACTCTGCGTTCTCAAGATCGGCAGCTTTCACTGCAGCAGAACCTGGCTCCGTAGACCCGTAATTCATGTACCTTTCGACCAGTGTGTGAGGTATCCTCTTGACCAGGATAAACAGCAACCCTGGGACCAGGGCAACAAGGGGTAACAGATAGCTTTGGTAACTTTGATTACCTTCAGATAGTAAGCTCTCTGGTTCTTTGATGGCAGGTATCACTGCTTTCTGGAACAATCTACATATGTAATCATTCACGGCAGAATGCCTTGCCTGTCTTCCTGAACCAATCCTACGTGATAGGCCATGCTGGCTCATCTGAGGAACTGTGTATGTATGTAAGGGAGTGAGCGTAGGTATTCTTTTCAAATGAAATAATATATAAAATTATATAACTGTTCCATCCATAAAAACACTCTATATAAAAAATATTTATTAAATCCAACGGCTGATAATAAAAAGACATATACTATGTATAGAAATCATTTTACAAAAATTAAACGAACACAAGAAAAACAATTTTTTGAAAATAAGTTCCAAAGGTGTAAAACCATTAAAGAAAAATGGAATACAATCAATAATATTGTCAAACCAAGTACTAATAAATCTCATCTCCTTCAAGGGAATCTTGATTTGAAGGAAAAAATAGAAGCTGTTAACAGCATCAATAAATTTTTTGTTGAAATGGGGCAAAGATTAATTGATGGCTCTACAAACGCTGATTATGTATCACCAAGCAATGCTTGCTGTCCTGCATTCCAGATGTATGACTCAACTCCAGATAAAATTATTTTAATTACTAATAAGATTAAATTAAAAAATAGTTATGACTTAAACTCTCTCTCCACAAAAATAATAAAAAACACTATCCACTATATTGCATCTCCACTTTCAGAATTATTTAATAAATCTATAAAAATCGGAAAATTTCCAAATAAATTGAAGTCAGCCAAAGTTTTGCCTATCTTCAAAAGCGGTGACCCTAACCAATTTGAAAATTATAGACCCATCTCAATTTTACCTGTTTTTTCCAAAATTTTTGAAAAATTAATGTTTAACCGAATGTGGAAATTTTTAATTAAATTTAATATTATTAACAAAAATCAGTTTGGCTTTATTCCTAAATCGACATCTGAGCGAGCAGTTGCAGAGTTGTACCGGTCGTTACTTAACGGCTTTGAATCCAAATCTTTTACATTGGGTATTTTCATTGATTTGAAAAAGACGTTCGACGTTATAAATCATAAAATTTTGCTATCAAAGTTGAAAAATTACGGATTTCGAGATGTTGCTTCTAGATGGCTAACGTCATATTTATGTGATCGTACGCAGCTTGTGTCGATTGATGGTATTGAGTCAGCTCCATTGACCATCCAGACAGGTGTGCCCCAAGGATCGATATTGGGGCCGTTGTTGTTTATTTTATTTGTCAACGATATTTTTGAGATGTCCCATCATTGCACTTCAATTCTTTTTGCGGATGACACCAATGTATTTTTGACTGATAAGGATCCAGTAGTTTTATTTAGTTCAATGAACGAAGAACTTAAAAAATATAATAAATACTTCAAATTAAATAATATGGTATTGAACTTACATAAATCATGTTATATAATCTTTGGTCCTAAAATTAGGACTAACAATAAACTTTTTGACAACTATTCCATAAAAATTGGCGACACCACATTACCACGCATTTATTCAACTAAATTCTTAGGAATCACAATTCAAAGTGATTTGAATTGGAATCATCACATATTATTTATATTAAATAAATTATATAAAGTGATAGGCATTGTTTATAAGGCCTGTGACAAGTTGGATTGTGGTACTAAACTTATGCTGTATTATTCTTTTTTTTACCCATACCTTATTTACGGCAACATATTTTGGGGCTCAACATTTAAGTTTTGGATTAATAAGGTGTTTATTGCACAGAACTATTTCGTGCGCATATGTTTCGGCCTAAGTAAATATGATCACACCAGTTATGTATTTGCTAAAAATAAAATTCTTACAATAGAAGAAATTAATAAATATATAACTTTAATTTTTTTGTTCAAAGTAATCAACTATGACAATTATCAGTTTCTCTACTCTTTTCAGTTTACAAGTTCTGCGACTAGGCAACACGGCTTATTAAAAATACCAAAAAGTAGAACGGTCACAAATGATCGTCATTGGATGGTTAGAGGTGCCAAATTGTGGAACGAACTAGCTATTAACGCGTATAAATCGATGTCAATTGTCAACTTTAAACATGCTGTGAAATCTAAAATATTAAATTGTTAACTTTATTTTTGATGCGATAATAGGTAACTCTAATTTTATTCGATTTTCGTTTTAAATTAAAACTGTTCTGAATTATATTATCAATTTACTGTTATTTTGTTTTTGAAC